CTACGATGATGGCACTCTTGTGGACCTGGACGGTTCAGTAACCGGTCATAACTAGGAAGTTTGGGTAAACTTCGACCATAGGAAGGGGGTAATGTTATGATTTTCCCATGCTTATCTCATTCCATTTCCATTCCGAGCATTGCTATTGGACAGTACCTTTCTCTGAGTAGAACTTCCCATGGACGCTATCTTCTTCCCACACGTTATCTCCCTTGACTCACCTTCTACCAATGGGCGCCCTTGTATTTCTCATTTCCCTGAGTTACGTTCTCACAGGATAGCTTACGCGTCCCTTCTTATTGTTTTCTTCTTCGGGTATTAACCCCTATACCAGTTACTATATATACTGTAGGAAAACCCATGTATTCCTTAGTTCAACCTCCTGTTGAATACAGCGATTACCTGGACTCTTGACTTGACCGTTGGCATTGGCCCGGCCAGACCTACCTTTCAGTATGCTTACTGAGGTAGTGACGACATAACTGTTGGCACGTGGCCCAGTTATCTCAAGACGACTAGTTAGGACATCGCTTCCTAACACGATCACTTCGTGGCTCGTGTCCCTCCCTGTCTCCTCTTACCATTGTTATACAGTACGCCGGACACAGAGACAATGCCCACCAAGACCGGGAGCGGGCGTAAGCACATACTATCCGGCTGAGTCGCACCGAGGAATTCACTTGCAGCACATGATCAGGTAACGGAGACCAACTCAGACTCAAGCTCGGACACAAGTTGGGAGGCAGAGGAGCGCAATAACAAGAGGTGAGTACGGCTTGAACCTATACAGCCAAACCATATGCACACGAGATGTCAAATGTAGAGCGACCAGAGCCCGTGAGGTACGTGTGGCTATATGCGCGAAGTAATGGAGGGACTTAGGGGATACGCTAGCCAGGAACCCATGAGAGCCGTGCCTGCTTCACAAGCAAAGAATGAATGCCAGGAAGCACCTAGGCGCCACTCAGCGCAAAGCACACACGAGCGCCAGGCGGTGAGAAGCTCGACTCGAGGGCATAGTAAGGGGAGAGCGTTTGAAGACTTAGGTTCAAGCTTCGGCTCCAAGATACAAGGTAGTTGTTACTTCGCTATGAAATGGTCGACAGGTCCGTGGTAACGAGGCTGATGATGCAGATTCAGCGACAAGGAAACGTGACCGCGAGCATGAAAGTGAAAGTGAAAGTGAAAGTGAAAGCGGAGAAAACAAATGGTGGGATCTGGGGGAAGGCATGACATGGGGCGCAGGCCACACGCCCACTCCTGAGGCACTTGATGATCGCAAAAGAACCACAGATCGGGCGGAGTCACCCCAGCCAAGAATAGTCTCCGCCAGCCAGGCGGCAGCCAGATCGCCCGTGCAGGCTTCTTCGAAGATGAAAGCATTTTTGCGCAGAATCCGGCCGGCGGAAGTGCAAAAGGACGCTGCTTAAGAAAGACTCTCATAAAAACCCTCCGGGCGTTCGACAGAGGCGGCCAAGGACAAGGCGAAACGACTGCGCCCAACTACGCAGGCAGCAAGAGAACCAAGTCGTAAGAAGGCGGGTGGTTCCACTTGCTTTCGGCCCGCCAGTTATTGAGCAGGGCATCTTCCAGCAACGCATCGACACAACGGTCAAGACGGAGGACAGCATGAATTCAGACGTTATAGACTTGACCATCATCAACGATCCTGCCGTACACGTACAACCTCTGGCGAGGCCCACCGGAAGACAGGTGATAGAGTTGCTTTTGACCGACTTAGACTTGGACATCGAGAGATGCAGCTCTGGTCTCGCTGCGATTGGCGTCGAAGATGGGAGAAGCTTCGCCAAGCTCAAGAATCTCCCAAAGGACCTGCAAGATGAGTTACTCTTGAAATTGAGTGATAAAGGTGGGTGGACGCTGCTTGAAGTCCAACAGCTTAAGGGGTACTTGAGGATGGACACGTGTCGAGGATAGGCCCGGCTGTTCGCTGTTTCCGGCGGAGCGACTGGGTAAGGGAGGGAAGAGAGGATGGTAGACGTCGACAATTCTTCTTGGTAGAGTTTCTTCAAACCCTTTTTGTGTCAATGGGATGTTAAAGCGCAATCCCTCGATAATGATATGCACAATGAATTAAGTTCCAGATCAACTTGAAGCGGTGACAACCACGATAACTCAAGAATGGCATGCTATATGCATCATACATTGCCCCAACGCCTGTAGCCGATGAAGTGACAAGTGCTGGTCAAACAGTCTGCTTGCCAAGGACGCCGGTCGTTCACACCGACTGCCACAGCTCGTTTGCTTTGTTCCAGACCTTCAGAACGCCGGTGCCAATACTAGTGCAATATCGGCCCATAAACGCTGCCACAACGCGAGAAAGCGAACTCGGGACGTACTTTGCTTTGGCAACTTCGGTCAGTGGCAACCACCGGGCCTCGAGCTTCTCCGTGATCTGGACAGCATCGCTATCGCTATCCACGTCTTGCTGCTTGGGCTTCTTGGTGCGACCACGCGGCACCTTTGCTACCCCCGATTCCGAGGGCACACAGAATGGCAGCAATTCAGGGCACTTCGCGCCGCCTTCGAGTACGACCCATTGTACTCGATATGTCTTTCTGATATGGGAGAAGACATGGAGCACGTCACCGGCAGATTTGATTTGCACTATACGGAGGGGGTCTTCAGCTGGAGTCTTGGTGTTGCTCTTCCTGGGTTTTAGAGGCAGGGGCGGCTTCTTGAGTAAACTGGACAGCAATGCTTGTGGTATCTGCGCCGTCTCAGCTGCCGAGATATCCGCAGGCACATCCGGTTTGGTAGGGAATTCGTGCAAGCCAGCCAAGAGTCCTGTTCAGCGTATATGATCTTCAGTATATCAAAGATTGTAAAGACAAAGGAGGTTACCAGTTTCGGGTCGTCGAACCAGCAGAAACCACCGTCCATCGTCATTTATCGATGAACGCCATTCGATGACATTCACAATGTCCAGCTCTTCTCTCGCTTTCTTACGATCTGCCTTCATAGGGAACGCGTTGACGAGACCGGGATTACCTTCCGGCACAGGCAAGGGCTCGCACAACGCGCAGAGCTCCTCGATGTCAGGCACTTCGTCCGCCTTGGTCGATCCTCGAGACACTGCATAGGCCTGACACCAGGGTCGGATCGGGCAAGTCTCGCAGGCAGGCTCCCGGACTTTGCACACCGTGCTTCCGAGCTCGATCATCGCTTGGTTGATATCGCCCGGTCGGTGAGTGCCTTCGACCATTGCAGTGGCTGCATTCCACAGTATATCCAAAGTTTGCTTCACTTTAGGGGGGGCATGCAAAGCCAGCACGCGGCTCAGAAGACGGTGGACATTGCCATCGAGCTCCAGGGAACAGGGTCAACCACCAAAACGCAGGCAGGTACGCGGGAGTGCACTCACCACTGGAACACACTGGTTGTAAGCAATTGAACATATCGCACCCGCGCTGTAACGACCGATCCCGGGTATCTTGGCTTCCATGTCCTTCGCATTATCTGGGAGACGGCCGCGCAGGTCTTTCACAACCTTTTGCGCGCCGCTCAGTAATCTTGCGGCGCGAGAGTAGTAACCTAGGCCCTTCCATAAGCCGTTGACCGTCTCTATGTCTGATGCAGCAAGGTCCCGTATGGTTGGGAATCTGTCCAAGTAAGTGCCGATGGAGAGGCGAAACAGGAAGGTGCTATCTCACTTCTTCATCCATTTATTGTAGTATGGTATAACGGTTGCGACTTGTGTTTGCTGTAGCATAATCTCGGACACCCATACCTGTCACAAGGACTAACCATGGTCAATCACTCCGGTCGGGCAAATCAACAGAGAAGTAGGAAGACCTCGTATGCTCTCTGTGCTCGTTCTTCAGGCCCGAAGTCAGGGTTATACGGTTTGCGCCATGGCATACCGCGTGTTGTGTGCACTTGATCGTACCAAGCTAGGAGTGCCACACGAATGGCCTCCGGCTCAGCGATCTCGTGCAGGGTAACAGCATGAGGCCGCTGGTCTGCAGTCGCAATATTGGTGCCATCATCATCCGATGCGTTATCTGCAGCGGCTGTCCGTTTCGTTAACTTCGGTTTCGCTGTTTTCGCTGTCCGAGGTTTTCTTTGAACCCTTTTAGTTCGTGCGGGTTCATATCCGTTGGATTCGGCTTCGCTACTGCTCCCTACCACGCGTCGCCTCTTGGCCATCTTGCAGGAACGAGTTACGGTAAGACCCGGTAACCCGTCAGTGTTGATGTTGGCTATGCCGATGATGTGGCGGACAGTATGAGTTGAAACGCGCTCAAAAACGCGACGTGAAGCGTGACGATGGTGTGACTACCCGCGACGTGCAAATGTGGCTGCCTCCACTTGAGCAGCGTACAAAGTTTCCCTCGTCAAACCTGTCAAAAGGCGACTTAGACCAGCTGCAGAAGGAACAGGATTTTGGACGGCCGCGTCGCGGAGATGGGTTGGTTTTGTTCGGCAGAAATCATTTCTTGATGGCAAAGGCCACATGGATGTTTCCCACGCCTCCTCTGTACACGACACGCCACGTCGGCTGTGACTGCACGCATTCCGCACCTTCCTTTCGACCGTCATGACTGCTCGTATTTCTATTGCTCGTCCCGCTGGCCAGGGAGGTTATCCACCAAGCTACAGCTCTGCTCCCCCAAGTTACAGTCCTGATCCCCATGGGCTGTCGAATCCTAGACCGTCGGCGGGCTACAGAGCCGCAAATCCCGATGACCCGGTCGAAAAGCTACGCGCCTATGCCTCGCAAGCGGAAGACTACGTCGAGATTTACTCGCAACCCCTGAAGCCGCACTTGCCTGCAATTGGGCGCTTTCTGATTGTCGTGACGTTCTTGGAGGACGCGCTGAGGATAATGACTCAATGGGGTGATCAGCTTTGGTATTTGCAAAGGTGCGTGGAATGTAATGTTAGTGCGAGCAAGTTTAATAGCGGGTAATGTAGACATCGGAAGTTCCCATGGGGCATTTCACATTTCTTCTTGTTGATCAACGTCATTGTCAGTACTCGCGTTCATACGGCGAGCGCCAGACTAACCAGCAGGTAGACCATGCTTGTTGGCTCCGGGGCCGTGATCACAAAGAGGCACACAGAATTTGCTGTGGGTGGACTGCTGGGCGTAGTTATTATCCAAGGATTCGGATATGGCCTCATCTTCGATCTCAACTTCTTCCTCCGCAACCTCTCCGTCATCGGCGGTCTCGTCATGGTCATGACTGAAGCCATGTTCACCAACAAGAAGCGCTTTGCCGGTCTTCCTTCACTCAGTGAGAACGATCGCAAGAAATAGTGAGTCTGAAGCCAATAATGAGTTGGTGCAGAGCAGCTGGCTCTGGCGAGGCATACCAGGACACGAATAAAAGCCCGCCAGAGCCCGCTTTTCTGCCGATTGCTCGTGTCTGGTCAATCTGTACTCACAGCGTCACAGCTTCTTGTTAGCCGGTCGGGTACTCCTCATCTTCCTCTTTCTCGGATTCATTCTGCAGGGAGAATGGACCATCGCTCGTTTCTTCCTCTCCATCATCGGCTTGGCTGCCTGTGGTATGGTTGCAGTGGGCTTTAAGGCCAAGTGGTCCGCATCCTTCCTCGTGGTCGTCCTCAGCATTTTCAATGTCTTCGTGAACAACTGGTGGAGTGTCCACTCGGCGCACCCGCAAAGGGACTTCCTCAAGTAAGTCTTCCAAGTGGTGCTCTGAGATATTAGGTTGATGAGTTTGCAGATATGACTTCTTCCAGACGCTATCCATCGTCGGTGGCCTTATTCTCCTCGTAAACATGGGCCCCGGTATGTCCTGTCTTCACTCGAGTTCGGACCATGGCTTGACCCCGGCCACTCCTAGGCGGCTTGTCCGTGGACGAGAAAAAGAAGACCTACTAAAGGCACGTCGGATAACACCGACGGTCATTTGGGCACGTCCGGTGCGGTTGGAGTGCTGCAGGAGCAGGTAGCGGCGGGCTGATGTACATGCACTACAAGCCCCCCGAAAACTGTGCTATAATATTATCAGGGTCCCGAGGCTGGGCAATGTAGGCTTTTTTGATTCCGTCATGCAGGCGGAGAGAAGCGAGGCTATAGGTTCATAATAAGTGCAGTAGCGTACACGATTCCTACATCCTCCTGAAGGTATTTTTACTCCCACTCCGCATACCCTGTCGTCTGTGCTTCCTCCCGCTCCTCTCGCTCTCCGTCATATCGACCTCCCTCTCTTCCCCACCCCTCTCCATGCCATAACCAAATGCATCTTTCTTGCCCGCACTCTTCTTCCGTTCTGACCGCTCCTTCGCGCCGGAAGAGCCTGGGACCCAGCTCATCTCCATCCCACCGTCCGCCGCGCGGTTCACGTACATGCCGTCATCCTCAGCCCGTGATTTGCCTTCCCGCGACGAAGGCCCGGAGCCAGAGCGCCGTTGGCCAAAGGACGCGTCCTTATCTGGCCCGCGCCGTCCGTCTGTTTGCGCGCGCATGGGAACCATACGCACGTTAGGATTTTTCTTGCGCTGGTTGGCGCTGCTGAATCGTGGTTGGTCGGCGTGGCGCGAGACTTGTGAATGCGTCCGAAGGTCTGGGATACAACATTTGAGTCAATTCCAATGAAATAAACGATCCAGACAGTGAGCTCACCGTCCTTGTCGCTGTCCTCGCTGTCCTCGTCACTTCTGCTCTCACTCTCGTCCGACGAGCCCTTATCGCTCTCCTCCTCTTCCTCCTCCACAGCAGTCTTTATCCTGCCGCTCTTACTCTCCTTCCCTCCTCTCTCGGCTTCCATCCGCCGGCGCATAGCCGCGACCGGGTTCGAGAGCGCGAACTCGCGGCTATCCTCGTCCACCTCGAATTCGGGATTCTCGAACAGGTCCTTGAACCGCGGGTCACTGAGCAGCGTCGGCCTTCCCGCCTCCTCCTTCTCCTCCGCTCCCTCATCCACCTCCATCTTCTCTGCCTTCTCCACAGCCTTCTTCTTCCGCTCCTCGCGCCGCTTAGCCCTCTCCTCTTCACGCATGACGCGCTCCGCGAGCTTCTTGTTCACCTTGACACCAGCCGCCTGGCCGTCCTTGCGCGCGCGGATGCGCGTCTCGGCCATCTTCTCCATCTTCTCGCGCACGGCGCGCTCGCGGTGCTCCGCGTACGCGAAGGGGTTCGCGATGACGCGCGCGGCGTCGTACAGCTTGAGCGAGAGGAAGTAGCCGTGCATGTACGGCTTGAGCGCGGCGGTGCCGATGAGGTGGGACAGGCCCAGGCTGCAGGGAGTGTAGATGATTAGCCGTAAGTCCACATCGAACGGGTATGGAAGCTCAGCGCACCTTTCGAGCTCACTCTTCTCGACGAACTTGTAGTCCTCATATACGGTGCGGGTCGTCTGGTCCTCGAGCTCCTCGGTGATGTTCTCGAGGAAGCTGCACCACCGCGGCGCGGGACCCAGCTGCGGGATGTAGTACGTCGTCATCTTGATACCTTCATTTGCGAGCATGAGCAGCCCGCTCCCTGGGATATGGTGCACATCGTTGATGTCCGTCGCGGGCGTGATGGATGCGAAGTTGCTCGTTGGCTATCATGTACACTAAGTATGATGACATATGTAGTGCACGAATGAACGCACCTGATTCCGATCCCATATCTTGATGACTTTCTTGTCAGCGCTGACGACCAGCCCGTCGCCGGCCATGCGCGACCCGCCCTCAACCCAGCTCACGTTCTTCACCGGCAGGCCGTAGCCTTGGTCTTTGATCGCGAAGGCGCGCGCGCTCCGGATATCGTAGAGAAGAGTATGGCCTGTCGAGGTACCCACGGCGTACGACAGCCCGTCCGACCGGGACGATATCGACGTAACTGACAGTGGCGGCGTCGACGACGCGTCGTCGATGCCAGGCAACTTCGGCGCGGCGTACGTAGGCGCCAACCGACTGTGTGGGAGATGCAAGAGGCCGACGCGCGAACGCGAACGCGGGTCCCAGAACTCGACCGTGCCGTTGCCCTCCACGCCGAACCCGAAGAGCTGGTGCGCGGGATTAATGTCGATCGCGTTGACGCCCTCCACACCCGTACCGCTGCCATCTGTTCCTTGGAGCACGAGCGGGTTGAGGAAGCGCCCCTGGTCGAGGTTGAGGCGGTAGACCTCGTTGCCGGCGGCGCCGAAGAGGGCGTCGCAGGAGGGGAAGTGGTACTGCACTGCGCGCCCGAAGCGCGGGATGCGCGTGCGGTAGTGGAAGCCGGATTGTGTGTGCAGCTCGACGGAGCGGTCTGCTTGGAGGTGCAGGGTTTTTGTCCAGTCGTCAGAGAGGATCTACGAAACTGTGAGCGGCTGCCTTCCGGAACTTACAGAAACAATTTGGTGGACGACTCACTCACAACAAAGTCAACGTTCTCGCAGTCTGAGTGTCTCTCGAACTTGAGCGCGAGCTCGTCGAGGTCCCACACTTTCATGTGCGGCTTGTACGTCCCCGTAGCGATCGCATGGTGCCCGTCTCTCGTGGTCTTCACTTTGTTACTGGCTTCCGGGAACTCAAAGTGCTGAATTAGCTCGATGGTACCTTCGACTTGCTCTTTAACCGCCCGTTTGCCTTTTCCCTTTGCTTGTCTTTTACGAGTAAGCCAGTCGGGCAGGGAAGAGGATGTGCTTGAAGAGGCACCATTTACCGTGTAGACTTTGACCGAGCTGGGGTCTGGCAGGGCGACCATAGTAGAAACGTAGAGCCGTATTAGACAGTCAGTGTAGATACTTTTGAGTGGAAGAGCCCCCTTCCAGTTCGCGCAGCCGGCAGCGAAGTTTCCAGTTTTCGTGCAACTTCCAAGTTCAGTACTTTTCCTGATCTCGTGTTTGTTGGTATTTGCGATCAGTGGCGTTCCTAAGTATGATCTACATGGATGTGACGCCGCATTCAAGAATACTTACTATCGGCTCGAGAATCATTGACAGAATGAATAATCTCTCTTTCGCCGGTCTGCAGTATTTGAGCTCATTCCACACAACTATGTTGCGGATTTTGACAATGGCCATTTACGGATGGCAGACACCGCCACAGGGATTTCCGCATCAGAGATCGATCATCCATTTCATGCGCGCGTTTGTGGCTGTTTGTGGCTTTGCTTTTTAAATTGGATATACTGTAGCATGCGTCGAGAGTGGGTGTCGCTTTCACGGAATGAACGCCGACTCAGTGCGTTTTCTTAGTCCTTCTATGGAGAGAGGATAGTCGCACACATCAACTGAATAAACAAGCCCGATCTCCGAGAGGCGCTGTGGTATGTCCAGCTAGGACCAAAGCAGTTACCCCATGTTCTCGAGTGTTTAAAGAAGAGATGGCTCAACGAGAGGTGAATACAATTGACGCTATAATCAATGGGTGCATATGGTATATCGGTGACTCGCGGGGTTTCTCTTAGCACGACAGCCGTGCTGATGGCGGTACATGATATTTCTGTCTCTTGTTCGTGGGCGGCCTCTCAGGATGTGTCTCGCTTTATCCCTCTACTACTATGCAAGCGACGGACCTGATCTTGTGTCGACGGCGAGCGACGCCTCGAGTACTAGTTCGACATCGATAACGGGATATGCAACGAATCTGCTGCGCCTGTGCTTTGTCTGAGAGCTACCGATTGAATTGGATACGCAGCGGTGTTCTATAAACACCCGCCCGCTGAGTACAGCAAATATGGACTGCCTTCGTTTCCGTTCTTTTTTTTGTGGAGCGTAGAAATTTGGTGCCCAGCCGTTGACATACAAGCTTGTTGCTTGTTGCCCCGTCGGGGTCCACTATGCCTGGGCCTCGCTAAGTACAAGAACCAATTGTGCCATTGCTAGGGCTGCCTTGTCTGGTAGTGCACGGGCTATTATTTGTGGAAGTGTCGCTGCAGATCGGTCGAGTTGCGTCAAGTGAAAGGGTTCACGTCACATCGCTCGTTTTATAAGATGGGGCGGTTTGCTCGCAGACAGCTTATTTTCTTCTCCCCCCTCCCCCATGATCCTGCCTCTCCTGCTTTCGGGACACTGTTCTCACTGCTACTTGTCTCCGGCTGCGAGTCCGCCGTCGGCCGCGTTATGAAGAGTCGGGTTGACAGGTCGTGACTTCGCTCCGGTATATTCTTCTTTTGCAGTTCAAATACGGCTGCAGAAGTACGACTGCTCAACGAGCTGCATCCAACGCATTATTCGCAATCAACAATCATGGACGAGCGGCGTGCAGGTGTCCGAAGTTGCGAATTTCGTTGCCGATCCGTCATGAAGCTGTGCTGGGCACGTGGTAAGAGGCGGAAGCCGAGCGTGTTCTTCCGGCAAAGCAAGTTGCGGTTTTGGCAGTCCCCCCGCACCCGGTGGCCTGTTTCCTCGCATCACTAGGCTCAGGAGCGGCTCCCCGTCGACGGAAAGGCAAGCTTGAATGAGTGTCGCTACAAGACAGAACGACTACTACTAGTTCGTGCTGGACCTGCCGAAAATGTATCTCATGCCCATGCATCCTGCAGCACAGTCCTTAATCTTCCTCCGTCGGCGTCAGAGAATGAGATCAGAGAGCGGTACAGAGCTCTGTCCGTTGTTTTCCACCCGGACAAGCAGCATGATGAGCGAGCGAAGGAGACGGCGTCTAAGAAGTTCTTAGAAATACAGAAGGCATACGAGGGTGAGTACTATGATGACGTTGACACTGGTGCAGACTTTTGAACTTGAGTTGCATATCTGCATAGTGCTCTCGGATCCGTTTCTTCGGTATGTCGTTTTCTTGCCGTTGGATGGACTGGCTTGATTGTTCAAAAGTGCGGTTTATGACGTGCTAGGTCTGTTTCCAAGTCTTCTCGCCTCTTGATTCATCGCATTCTCAGATTGATTGCTAGGCGAGGAAGGAATATCTCAAGAATGGTCTGAGGACTGGCGGCTGAGACCCATCGACGAGGTACGCTTGTTCGCCTCTTCAGACTCAGCTTGGAACCGTAAACGGACGGCAGGTCCGGAGAGACCTCAAGCGGGCATGGATTAATCTGGAGCAGGAGAGAATTGACAAAATTGTACGAGTGAGGGGCACGGTCACCTGCGGGATCAACGCAACCACGCTCTTCGACGACGACCCAGAGTATTACAGTTCGCAGCTCTTCCGCCGCATCATGGAACGGTTCTCTTTCGTGCACATGAACAGTCTCGCCACCAAGTATACGGTGCAGGTACGCGTTATGGTATGCTGCTATACCTCGGATTGGAAGTGCTGAGAATGTTGGTAGAGACAAGTCGACGAACAGACCCGCCTCAGCCTCACTACCGATTTCTCGCGGACGCATAATCCGTACACGCGCAAGTTCATCACTGTCGGAACCTTCGCAGGGACGATCCGCCACCAGTTCTCCCCACGAGTGACGTTGAAGGTCGGATGGTGCATTCGCCCGGTGTTGAACGGTCCAATACTAATGACCCGATATCAAGGCAACCGCGCGGCCTTTGCAGAACCCCGCTTTAGATCTCAAAGCTACGTACCAAGCTGACCACGGCAGCATCTCAGTAGGCACCACGCTGCTTCTTAACCAGCTCACCGCCTTCCTCCCCCCGCTATACCCCCCGCTTAATCTCGAGATCTCGCGGCTACTCTCGGCAGAGCGACCGCTGCACGGCGTGATCAACCTGTCCACGGGGCCCTCCCCGGAATTTTCCATGGACCTCGTCTCGCCCAGCTTCTTCGACTGGCGGCCTGCCCCGGCTCTGTCCGAAGGCCCCGAGGAAGAGATGCTGAAGCCCGCGCTGCTCAGCTCGGGGCCTCCCCTGCTCGTGGGTACCGCGTACCGCTCGGTGGGGTTCGCCATCAGCGGGCTGTCGACGCATCTCAAGACGGAGATGGGCGTAAGGTTCGAGGAGCTAGCATTGCATCTGAAGACCGTGCTACAGCTTGGGTTTACCGGGCTCGCAGCCCTGGTGGGCGGGGTGTGGACGCCCGCCCCGGGCAGCGAGGTCGCCACATTTGTCGGCCTTGGTGCGAGTGGCGTGTATCTGAAACTGGAGTGAGCGGTTCGATTGCCACAATATAGATGGTTTGGTGTTGACGCATCTCGACAGCTTTATGTATATGGGGCAGCGGCTTACGATACCCATAAATCTGTCGGACGAGTTCGACCCGGGGCTGGCGTTTTGGACCGCGGTAGTGCCGTCCAGCGCCTACGCGCTCGGCTACTACTACATACTTAGGCCAAGAAGGCTGGAGCAGCGAAGACGGTATGTGCCTTTCCTTTTCCTTACCCTCGGGAGAGTGATAATAAGTTGGGGTTCTCAGGATCATTCGACAGGCGCGGCGAGCTGCGCAGGACCAGGAATCAGAGGGTCGTAGGGAATACGAAGCGATGCAGGCCATGCTGAAGGACGTTGCGAACAGGCACATGCAGGCGGAAACGAGGCGAGACGGTAGGCAGCCTTGCCTAGGCTCCTCCGCTATGCGCTGAAATCTATTGCCGGTGTTTCGTGCAGGGCTTGTCATTCTTGAAGCCACCTACGGCGCCGACGAGGTGGACGAGGAGGCTGCCGGGCTGAGCATCGACGTCACGATCCCGCTCCAGGCCTTGGTTAACAACAGCCAGCTGTTCATCCCTAGTCGCGGCTCAAAGGTTCGCCTTCTATCCTTGATCTCGTGCCACTGCACGCGCTAATATTTGGTTCGGTCAGGCTTCCCTCCAGGGGTTCTACGACCCTTGCCCCCTGTTGCCGAAAGTCCTGCGGATTCGCTATATGTTCGGTGGTCGCATGCACTATGCTGAGATTCCAGATGGCGTGCCGGTGGCTATCCCATTAGAAGGTGCGTTCGTGCTACACGGCTTTGAGCGACATATTTCAATACTGATTTGGGGCGGCCAAAAAATATCTAATCCAGATCATCTCGTGGAATGATCGATCGGCGCGCGTCCGCGCACATCCACACCCACTCCTTTGCGCGGGTTCACACATCCCTCTCTGACAAGGGTAATTGCAGTTATTATTATGTTCCCCGCATCCCCACACAGCCTATATTTGCGCGATCTAGAAGGAGATGGGGACCCCTGCCCGCATGGTCGGTCGACCGACTTGAGATGCGCTGATGGCTGCGGAGGAAACATGCGTACGCCCTGATGGAGAATAGTAGCCCCCACTCAATGCTTTCCGGGTCCAGTCCTTCGCCAGGGTGAATGGCGGTTAAATCGCCCACTGAAGCCATGCATATCGAGATCGACGTGTCCTGTGCGTACGTTCCCTGCTTCTCCCGCGCGTGCCTTTCATATCTACGTAAGTGGGGGGCAGGGGGAAGCCTGATCCTCCTGTCATTCATATACGCAGCATGTGTGCGTCTATGGTACCCGGACTTCCGAATTCGCACTGCAGAAGACGGTACGAGAGAAAGATCCCACTCCTGCGGCATCGGGTATCCTGTCGTTGAGTGGTCACTTGACTTTCTCTCGTTATACTTGCACTATGATGTGCGGGGTGCGCACGGAAATGACTTCGGGTGAACCGCCCGGTGCCGCCTTGGTCCAGGGAGCCTGGCGCGGGGACCGCAGCGCGAATAGGTGATGGCTATCAGATAATGCAGATGTGCTCACGTTCATATTCTAAGATCCAATGACCCCTGATAGAACTGCTTTCGGCATTGCCGCGGTACCAGAATCTTGACGTACGCGCTGGGAACATTCATATGCCCGCAAAGGTGGCGGCCAGGTGGTTGGGTACGTGCCTGTGGTTTGAGTTTGTAGGTCCACGGTCACGGGCGGGCTTGGTCCTGGTGCGGGAGCGATCTAGCCCCGGAGCGTCTCTATCGATGGCTCCGATGCTGCTAGGATGACGGCCACTGGCAAGTAGTCGGCGTTGCAGCACGCTAAATGGGAACTCGAACCCTATTGGCACGCACGTCGTTCCCCTCGGAGATGGGTGCGACGGGATGAAGAGAATCTAGGCCCCGGTGAGCAACGGCGGCGTCTTGTCTGAAATTATCTCAGCGCGAGGGAGGTGGTGCGGGCTAGCGCAGTCACGAGCCCTTTATATCACCTACCTTGGTCACCTCATCTATGACCGACGTGTTTCCAATTCGCGCGAGGTCTGAGCGGGTACTGAGTATCGAGTATGTATAGCGGGAGGCCGCTCGAGACCTGGGTGCGTTGTCCGAGTATAACCGGGCATACATACAAAGTATACTTGACCGCGGGGCAGCGAATCGCCCGTGCTGCGCGCCGCTCTCACTAGTTGTCGGAAGGCCTCACTAGTTGTATTGACAACTTCCGCGAGGGATCGCCGGGGCGTTGTGTTCGCTCCGCAAGCCGGGGTAGACGGGATTTGGAATGCTTCGAATGGGATGGTCCCGGGTAAGGCGTTCTCATGACCATACCACGACTCTGTTTGCACGCATATCAGAATCATTGATCTTCTTCCCCGCAATGTGCCTGGGGAAGGGAACGAATGCCATCGGGTGTTAGGCTGGTCTTGTGCACTTGTTATGCTTTAGACATACTTTCATCTTGGTGCAAAGATGGGGGCCATGGGTGCGGCTATGCAAGCTTGACGTGTATGTACTGGGACCGTGAAGACCCAGCTGTGAAGTGATGGAATAAGCACGTTTGGGGTGCCTCCGGTGGGAAAGGGCCTATGACTAACCGTTACCTACTGGCGAAGGCGTATACCAGGCTATAGAAGTCTGACCTCTCAGCGATCTCGACTGTGGCGTATGCATGGTAGGGAAGCGGACGCTCGTGACCCTCACTGAAGCCAATCAGTATTCCAGGAACACGGGGACCCATACCTTCATTGCACTCGTATTTGATTAGCCAAGCGCAGTCTAAGTGGAGAGGCTCGAGCGCAACGGCAAACTGGGCGTACGAGTTTCTGATCCTGACGAAGATGAAGAGAAGGGCTTGGCGACGTCGATGAGGGCAGAGTTCAAGGGTTAGTCAGCAAATGAATCTAGTAGTGCTGAAGGACTGCTATATCGATGAACGGAATGCGGATACTAGCTCTTTGTGGTGAGACCGCCCCCACATCTTGTATTCACGGCGAATCTGACTGAGAAGGCTGTCAATGGTCGGCTGACTTACTGAAAGTCGCGACGGCGTCAATTAGGGAATTCGCAAGGCACTACAAACGTACTGCCGGGCCAGTTTCTCAGAGTCAGTGCGAGCGGAAGATAATTCCACTTTGAACTGAGTAAAGATAGATTACGCTTTAGAGATGAAAGGGAAAGCGCCCGAAACGAGGACGTCCCGTTCCATGTATTGGTCAGGGTGTCCGTGCCGAGAGAGGGTAAAGTCCATGGAGATTTTCGAGCGCCCTCTTCACCCTCGGGCTCAGCATTTCAAGATGTGCAAGTCTGTCTCTCCATGAATAGATTAAGGACGTGCGGGTCCATGACGAAAGAGGGGCCGAGGCCGGGAACAATTTCATGACACTAGTCCATCGCTGTCACCAGGGTCCGCCACAGTATCCCGGAGGTAGGCTCGACGAAAGATGGCAAATACGGTATAGTTTCCGCTTTGCATGCCGCGACTCTGTCACTGTGCGTTGTATAAACATAGTGAGTCCCAGAGAAGTTTATAAGCGTATCAGGCCTCGACCATCCGTGTAAGCGCTGCATCAGCGATGCTGGTAGAGTACAGTTTAGCGGGATTAGGTTCCATTCTGCAGTCTCGTCTGACAGATTTTACCGAGCGCCCAAGAGAAGAGTTCGTAATGGAATCACTTGCTAGGAAGACCGCAGAGTGTAGGCCTCGATGACAGACTCTCAGGCGATGTGGCAAGAGCGCAAACTACACAAAATGCTTCCGCTCCGGCGGCCGGATACCACGGCAGACCGGTCCCGGGCCCTGGACAGAAATGAATGAGTGCGTCGGCGAGATCTAGGGGAGATCGGAGCCCGGGACCGAAGTGCCAATTGGGAAGTAAGACCGATCCCCGCGTCTGCGCCGGCAAGGCAGCGTCTCCCTCATGTGGACCATCAGGATGCGTAACTTTAACTCAGTTGAAACCCAATCTTAACCGTTCCCTTCCATACCCTCGGTGATATCCATCTTTATCAGGCCCTGGTCTTTACCCCTTCCTTGCTGTTATATATATTCTGCCAGACTTTCCCTGCCTCGCCCTTTCTCACCTCCTCCACCACCCACCCTGGCGACCGCTCTCCTCTTTCGTTCTTTACAGGATATGCAGCGACCGACTCTCGAGAACGTCACTGTCAGAACCGTCCGCGACGCCACCCATATCTTCTACGCCGTCGCTCGCAACCTGCTCCCTATCATCACACGCCGATTGGACGCTGACGAGCGGCGCGCCATAAAAGCTGGGAATGTCTATGTCTGGGAAGACAGAGGTGGCAACTCCGAGTCCTCTGGCTTGGGCATGGAGAGATGGTGAGCATCTGGCAGATTTGCGCGGGTCGCAGCGCTGGGAGCTAATTCATCTCTTTAGGACGGACGGAATGAGCTGGGGGCCGAGCAGAGTACGAGATGTTCGTCCCGGATTCCTCGTAGCCTCGCTCGGCATACTGATTAACCGAGAGCAGGAATTCTTGTACTATACCCAAAAGGAGTATGACCCAGAAAACGACTCGGCGTCCAGCTGGATCCCTGCGCTCAGGTGAGGGTCACGTCCAATACATGCTGCCTTGTCCCCCCGCAATGGCGATCTTGCATACCGCAAGTTCGCCCCATTTGTCCGCATTTGCCCCTTCCTTACGTCACCTTGCTCTATTTATTTGCTCTGCGCTAACTGGGCGGCACATGATGAATGCTATCGCTAGAAGACGCGATCCCTCCGCTTCTGGGGCCAACTCTTCGTCGCATGCCTTCGGAGGGCCACGCTCGTCGAGGCGTCCAGAGCATCTGATGAAGCAAACCTACAGCGTTCATGTGTTCCTCCCTCAAGACCGGGCCCAGGGCGTCATGCGCAAGTGGCACCTTAGTAAGTACAAGCTCAACTTTATCCATTCATCTGCGATCGTCCCGATGAACTGATCATTCATGAATCATTCCTTCTCTGCCGCGTCTCTTCCCATCACCCGGATCGCTATTCGCTTCGCGCACGCGATGCTCTACCCACCAATCCCCGCTACGTTTGGTACCTGCACTCCCATCTACCATCGCAGCCGCGTACTTCTCACAAGAAACGGTTGATTCGCTAACGCCTGTTAGCGCGCTGCCGGGTATCGGTGATGTCACTGTCCCCGAAGGCTGGTTCCGGTCCGCCCGGTCGAGCAAGACCCGGCGCGGCGGTGAGCCCTTCGGTCCAGGTCCAGGCCCTTTTGCTTTCCCTCCTGGTGGACATAGCGAGGGAGCCGTTCCGCCGTTCACTTTCGCATCACCCGCGGTCCCCCCACCGATGTACTCAAGCTATTCCATGTATCCTTTCCCGCCACCACACGCGCCTGGGCTCGACACCGTACCATATGGTGTCCCGTCTTCGACTTCGATGTCCCTCCACCAGGGCCGCCCCCCGGATGCAGAAGTGCCTCGCAATAATAGCGGCGGCCTTCCGTCCGCGTCTTACGCTGTCGCGTCATACTCCGTTCCCGCCTACCATCAGTCGTATCTCCAGGTCGCTTCCACTTCTCACGACGCTGCCACTTCATATGCTTCGATCCCTACCAACACTTTTCATCCTCAGTTACAGCAGCCCCAGGCCCTCCACTACGAGCATGGGCTGCCACGGGTTGACGAGACAGCCCGATCGGCAACGTCCTCGCCTTCTTCTGGAGCATCTTCGGTGTCACCGTCCACGCCGGCCAACAATGCCTCCGACGATTCTCTTCCTCGGAGTATGAGGTCGGACTCTACCCCTCTTGAGGGCATGAGTCTTGTTCCACTGGAGTATCTCCAGAACAAGTCATGCCCACCTAGGGATCCCGCAGACCAGGAGATGATGCGGCGACTCGGCGTGCTCAGCATCGGTATCCCTGTGACCCTCGGCGAGGTCGTCGGCGCGGAGCAGCCATCCTTGTGAGAAAACACTCGGTGCCACGGACCGTCCAATTCGGGCGTCTCTAGGGTGGTGGGCAAGCCACTAGAGGCTGCTTTACCCTTTGGGCGACCCGTGGACAGTCTTCGCGCGTCTCATCAAACCCATATGTAACTATTTGGATCAGCATTGGCTCGTTTCGGTCCTGTACGCCAACCTCCTGGCTCTCGCTCGCGCAGAGGCCGCCGGCGCCTCACCACCCAAAATCGCGCATGTGATCAGGCATACAACGGCATTATCATCACACATCTCACATGCGCCACGCTACGCACTATAACCCCAACGCATGACATACCACCCACGCAACGTTGATATCTTGACGGCTCCCCTCCACGACTCGAACGTATTTTATTTGGCACGGTGACTTCTCGACCTCATTTCCCGGACTACATTTCCCCTTCCCAACAAGAAAAATCCACCCTGAACCTTGACCATTCATCTTTATTGCATCGACCCTTGAATGTCCCCAAACTCTCTACCGTCAGATTCTCGCACTCCGCCTCCCTTCACATCCGGGCACATTTCCATCCCACCTGACCTGTTGTTCTTGTTTTGCTGCCGAACGTGTACTATCTATTTTATAGTTCGGCCGACATTGCTTTAACCTGTTTTGTTGTGCTCTAGCTTTCAGGCATCGAGCGTGTTTTCTTCACCTCATCGCTAGCTGTCCTTGTTGTTGGTTTCTTCGGGATAAATGGATATTCGGACTATTATTTCCTGTTGTCTGAACAAGAATCGGCACCTTGTAATCTAGATAGATCAATGTACTTTGGTGTCGGGTTAAGTTACCTAATTAACTGACGTCGCAGTGTCAAGCACACACAGACTCCGGATGTCGGAGGAAATCCATCGGATTCGCTAGTCGATGCAGCAGGCTTCCCGTCAGGCTTGTTCGTTCCGGACGGTTTCACACAAAGTTCGCTTGATGGTGGCGCTAGTACTTCTACAGGTGAGCATCGTGGCTAGCCATTCCCCAATCGTAGAGTGCTTGTCCTCTCGACTAGTCAGCCTTAGGAGGGGGATCTGGGCCATCCGGGGGTCGGAGGAGCACCCGGGATGTGGCCAAACCATGGGTGCACTATAGTGCACCGATGCGGCCTCCGCGGGGGCGGATAACTGTCGTAGTGCGGTCAAGCTTCGCATGGTCAGGTACGTCGCGAATCGAGTCTAGAAATTGGGTTCGCAGATGGGTCACAGGCTGCAGTCAGATAGAGGCCGTTGGGATGCTTCGTTTTCAGTGTTAGGCTGCAATAAGCTGCGTCGTGTGCGTCAAGGGGTGGTGGACGTGCGAGATGAAACCATAAAGCTTCCACGAACGGGCTGGCGAGTACAGGCCCAGGTGCTAGACCGACCTTCGAGTTCTTGTCGAACGTGGCGCAACATCGGTATGACGGAATGGTCTCTCGCGGGTCGAGACAAAGCGGTATTTTGGGCGTCCGGCAAGAGCGGCGGGTGGTTCTTGAGATTACAGACTGCTGAGTACAGGTGGGATCTTGTCTGACATACATGCTTCCCGTGTTCACAGATGCTGCAGAGGCCGAGACCAGTGTGGTAGTCTGATCATGCCTTCAACTTCCTATGCACAGGATAACAGAAGGTAGCTTAACCTTGATCTTTGGTCTGCGGGAAGAGAAGATAATATACTGGCATTCCGGGGTGCGTGTCAATGTGGTTAGTCGCTCCCGCCGAGTGGGAATCTAGTTTAATACCAGGGGGTCCGGTCGGTGAATGAGACCATTCACGATTTGCCTAGTCGCTGGAATGCTGGGAAAATGTATGATTCGAATCATCCGGACGGCAGACTGATGCCCTTAAGGACGGAATTCAGAGTTCTTGGGAGAGAACTGGGAACTTGCTGAAAGGAAGGGTCGACGTCTCGACAGCATCCCTACATGAAAGTAAGTTTTCGTTCCGGCCCAAGTCAGTCGGGCAAGTCGTGGTGCAGCTCCGCCTCCTCATTCCAAGCCTTCAAGCAACCCACTTTCTTGAAGTGCTCACCCCGCGGCCGGCGGCACTGGCAGGGCAGTCAGCGATCGATGTCTCCACGTGGTGGCTGTGTCCGCGATACCGTGCCTGCTCCAAGGGTTTCCAAGTCGGCAAGCACCTCGCAGGATACGTTATCGAGGAACAAGTTACAAAGTATTGCATCTGTAGTACGTTCAGCACAGTCATTATTATGCATTTCACATGAATACTTTGATGAAAACCTGAGGGCGGTAGCATCGGAGCGTTAGAAATGCCACAAATGCTGCCAATCCAGAGCTCCGAGAGTGATATGACGAGTTTCTTTGACTTATCCCCCATCCCTGTTCAACCTATCATGAATGTCGAAGTGCTAGATGCGGCGGCTCGAACACTCGTCATGCGCAGTTTGCCAAGCCCAGCGGCGCCCTGGTGATGTCGAACGACCCTCCACTTCCTTCCACTTCCGACCGTCATTTCACTCCAGAGCGGTACTGACGTCATGAAAGGCAGAGTATATAAAGGCGACTTTCACCTAGATTTCAGCACAAGCATTACCCCCTCTCGACATCAAACATGAACACTAACACGAACAACACCACGACTGGCTCGACCTACCCTGCCCAATCCACCCAGGGCAACGGGGACATGCTCGACAAGGGCGTTGACTACGCCGAGAAGAGAGCTGGGCATGAGCAGGTACGCTGTTTGTCCTTCATTGAATGTTTGCTCCAGACTTACTCTCGTATTCAGAGCCATTCTACGACTGAGAAGATCAGTGACGGCTTGCGGAAGGGCTTCCAGAAGGCAACAGGTCTGTGTCGTTGGACAGTTTGTCACCATTCGCACCTGCTGACGCGATGCTGCAGGCAAGGATGTCCCTGTTCAAGATAAACAATACCAGTAGGCACCCGGTTGATTGTAACAATCTCATAAGATGTACCATGGACTTGTATAATCCTTGTAATATCACCGCTCCGCAGTCAATAAATCGTCTTTCGCGCCTTTCCAGCAGCTATGATCATTGTGGCTATACCGTCGTGGTGTCAACAGCATTCAGGATGGCTAGCTTGACATGACTTGGGAACGCAGCATATCGTACAGCACAATAAGTTAAACCCATATAACGTAACCATTTTTCTACTTGATTTCCTATCGACTCGTCTCTTCTTCATCCCTCCCGGTCCTAACATCCGAATTCTCCGTAGATACCCTCACCTGTTCCAGCTCCCGTAGTTCGCTCCCCTTATCGCCCATATAGTCTGAATCACACATCTCCGGATCCTCGAAGTCCTCGACCACGGTAAGCCACCGCCAACGTGACTTCTCTACACTATTATTGCTCCTGGACCTGCGGTATGCGAACTTGATCGAGTGCATGTTCGTGCTGAAGCAGTCTTGGGAGGTGGAGATGTCCGGTGTGCGGTCTAGAGCGGCGGAGCGCAGGTCCAGGAGGAAGCGCGACGTGAGGATGGAGGAGATGAGAAGGGTGTAGTTGTTCAACGCTTGGCTGTAGACGCCCTATGGATTGGATGTTTGTGAGTCGATAGCAAAGAGGGGAAGATGCGGAAGAGGTACCTCGGGTTCCTGAGATCAGGAGGTGTCAAACTATCGCGAAAGAGATCAAGTAATATGCAGCTCACAGCGTAGAGAACAATAGAGCCCACTTGGATTCCGGTCATGACACTTGAGAGATAATCGCGGGCTCTTAGTAACGCGAGAAGCGATACTCACCGATAACTTCACGTACTTGAAATAGATGGCACCTACGTGCGGAATACCACTGAACTCAAGCACAGACTAGTAGAACACCAGAGAGGACGTACCAGAGCGCATGATGAGACCGGCCATACTATGCCTACTCAGTCGCTGGAGGCCACCGGCCTCGCGTATGACCTTGTAGATCCGCCATGAGATGACTGCCGTGGCGAGGACATCGAAAGTGACGAGGGAGATGAAGGTGAGGAGCGTGGCTGCCAAACAAGGTGAGCGGGACGGTGACTGGGTCTGGTCGCCAATCTTCGCTCATGCTCACCTCTGAGTTTAAGTGACGGTAGTTCAGTCAAAAGAGCAACCGAAGCATGCGTTGATCGCGCAAATCAATGGGTGACTTACATGGGATATGCGGACTGGGTACAGGAGGTATCTGCGACTTGTAGCTACCCGTCATCAGGGTCAGTGCACAGATGATTTGTTGATAGTTCGCGCATAAGACTCACGATATCAAACACTACGACCGCGGCACCGGCTAGGCACAGGAGCGCCACGAGCAGCAGGCCTCTTGCCATTGTGACGGCGTACACACGCAGCACGAAGGAGGCTGTAGCAGTAAGGTTCGGTGGAAGCCTCGGGCATGGATATCGGGAGACCTACCAACAATAGCAATACGAGTGGGTACTAGAGCAATAGCCCAAGTAGATTGGTAGATAGCATTACAGCTGATATCCACGGATCCTTAAGCTTGTGGCTTGTGAGTTATCGAGATACGACGTACTGCGCGTTCAGTTAGAAAAACGGGGGTTACACAGGCTGGGAAGAATTGGGCGCACCTGTGGCATTGAAGGGGTATAGAAGACCTCAAAGACTTGAAAGGGGACTAGCGGGTAGCGGGACATATAGTACAACAGACTATACGTGCGGAACTTGGTGTCCCACACGAGCTGCTTCTCCCGGCCGAGGTTCAGGACGATATCATAGATCATAAGGGCTATCATATGTCAGTATCATATCAGTACTATGCCTTAGCGTATGTAGTCTAAAGCTCACCAAGCCTGGAAAAGTTGGCATATCTGTTGACCTGCCTGTCAACGTAGATAGCAAATTGATGGCGATTGGCGTCTGCATGAGCTCATCAAAGACGCGTACTTAAGCTATATATGTACTTACGCTTTTCGCGCTTCATGAACAGCAACACTCAGGACAGTCTGGCTCACGACGGCGGAGCTAGGCATCGGGTCGCAGGGGCATGGAGGGCGTCGTGGTATGAGCCAAAGGGGATGCGACTAATCTTAGTCCGCCACACCCGACTTCTCTAGAGCTCCAGTACATATATATGCCCCGGAGCCGGGGATAGCTGGGATAAACGCAGAAATGTCAGCACCCCAAGGGGATGGAAGCTGATGTCTCCATGATGAATTGTCATATGATGGGACATCAGCAAGAATAGATACGCTTGGTTACACTATGTAGTTATTACTTCGGCGATTCGAAGTGGTTTCGATACCTTGGGGGCGACCTGCACACGCTAAATACATTCTCGAAGTAGAGCCTAGACGTCCTTCGAAGTCGCAGTGAGAATGTGGATTCCAGTGCGTCCAGCTCGCAGGAGAAATTGAGCGCCGACCTAGCTCCGCGAAGACAGCATAGCTTCGCTGATGCTGGATCAGAAAGTATCCCCGGATTTGTGGCGCTTGGCGTATTTCTGACTTGGGGTGACTACCAGTAGCAGACTACATTCCAGAAGACCTGAAAGCAGTGTCACTTTCGCAAGCCCATCGCGACCCAGCGGAAGGGTTCACAATCGGTGTTACATCTGACTTTTGTAGTTATAGCTAGAACTCGGTGAGTTACGGCTGGTGATGGAACACTCGAAGGGAAGCACTCTTGTTCGCAGCAGGTATCATGTAAACCCTAGGACGGTCTGATGAATGTTGTTTATAAATATGTGAGCAGAGCTGCTGTGGTGAATGTCGAAACTCCCCGGCCTCGCGGCGCGTTCCACAGAAGACTGATCCAAGATTTCAATGCACCCTCGGTGTCGCAGGAATATCCGAGGGCACCGCTGTCCGGAGACGAGTCCTGATTCGCTGAAGTAGTGCCGAATGGGAGTTGTTGACAGCTTCATACTCCCGCGAGTAGGGCCTGATTCAACCTGCTGGTCGCAGTAACTTTCGACCTAGCCGTGTGGATAGTCTTATAAGCTATGCACACCATTGATGAATCTCCAGCTTTTCAGACTCAAGGTGGGTGATTGGGTCGGGGTCGTGTTACTTTCTGCCAGTGCTCCTTGATCTGGAACTTTCCTGACTGGTAGATGCTGGTTATTGGTGTTATTGGTAGAGACTCTCGCAAATGAACCGCCGATATATTTCAACTGCATTTGATCGCGAGATATAACGACGAAAGGTGCGCGTTAGTGTGCTTCGCAAAGGGCAAGGCAGTCGCCAGTCGGAGATATCGGAGCTGTCCTGATATTATCTGTGATATCGGCCGCACAAGAGCCACGTGATACCAATCACGGGTCACGTGGACGCGAGTCATTTCGTTCTGCAGTGCAATTAAAGTTTCCATAGCAGGCACTTCTACTTTACAGCTTCAGGGCGTGCAAAGGCACGGGACGAAAGCTACGGCGTGCATCAAAAGCGCGGAAGATGTCAGACCAAGACCGTCTACGGCGCGTCGTAGCCAGGCTACAAAATCTGACCTCTATCTCTCTGCCGACTGATTACCCGAGGCCTTCTGGTCCGCAAAAAGTTGTAGAGGCCGCTCATGTTGCAGAGCTTTCCGAATCCACATCTCGTAGCTTGCTGAAACTTGCCCTGTACAGCGAAAACGGAAATGACGAAGACGAAGATGCCGAGGAAAATGCTGCTCAGAGGCCGTCTCCCTTCCACCTTCTTCTGGCGGCATTCAGTGTCCTGCTGCACCGTTACACTGGCGACACCGATCTGGTAATCGGATCGTCTTCGGCATCTTCGAGTGAACCTCTGGTATTAAGGCTCGGCGTGGATCCGACGGACCCATTCTGGGCTGTTGTACAGAAGGTCCAATTGGTGGAGAAGGAGGCAGAAGCCGACGTCTTACCGTACGAAACCATACTTCAAGCGCTGGGCAGGGAGAAAGAGGAAAATGCTGAGGGCGCACGACCGCTATTCCGGGTACGATTCTTTGACGAAACTGACGAACCGAAAGAGAACTTCATCCGATCCACCAGCTTAACGTCTGACCTCACCGTCTTCATCACCCGTCCCCCTGCTTCCAGCCATGCCTCCATCGCGCCGCGTATCTCCCTCCGCCTTGTATATAACTCACTGTTATTCACATCTCTGAGGATCTCCTTTATAGTGGACCAGCTATCTGTTCTGCTACGCAAGGTCGCTTCGAATCCTCTGTCTCCTGTGGGCTCCGTGAGCCTGCTGACACCGGCCCAGCGTGAGCGACTGCCGGACCCGACAGCCGATCTCCACTGGTGTGACTTCAAAGGCGCGATCACAGATGTATTCTCCCGCAACGCTATCAAGTGGCCCGAGCGCCCTTGTGTGATCCAGAGTTACCCCTCAGCAACCCTGGGTGCACCTCAGGAAAAGCGCGTATATACTTACGGTGCCATCCGCCGAGCCTCCAACATCTTGGCGCATCATTTGCTCCAGGGTGGCATCCAGCGGGAGGAAGTCGTCATGGTCTACGCGTACCGGAGCGTCGAGCTTGTGGTAGCTGTAATGGCTGTTTTAAAAGCCGGTGCGACGTTCTCCGTTATCGGTGAGTGGTCGCGTCTTTGGTTCCTCGAGGCCTCCTTCAGCGGTAGACCGCGTGTTGATTGTATCGCCCAACTGTAGATCCGGCTTATCCACCTTCGAGGCAGACGATATACCTAAAGGTTTCCCAGCCTCGAGGATTGGTCGTCCTCAAGGGAGCCGGAAGAATCAGCCCAACAGTTCGTGAATTCATGTCCAACGAATTGCAGTTACGCGTCGAAGTTCCCGCTCTGGATCTTCTACCCAATGGCGACATTTCTGGAGGTTCCAACGGTGTTGAAGCGGATGTATTGGCGACTTCTGCTCACCTTGGTGACAGTGACCCCGGAATTGTCTTGGGCCCCGATAGCGTCGGTACTTTATCGTTCACGAGCGGGAGTACTGGTATTCCTAAAGGTGTCAAGGGCAGACACTATAGCCTGACCCATTTCTTCCCGTGGATGGGCGAGCGATTCGGGATTGGGGAACATTCCAAGTTTACCATGCTCAGCGGTATCGCTCACGATCCGATTCAACGTGATAGTAAGGATACAGTGCATGTAACTGGAAGTATCTATGTACTGATGCAGTCTAGTGTTTACGCCGCTGTTCTTTGGTGCTCAGCTACATGTACCCACTGCGGATGACATTGGTACCCCGGGTCGGCTGGCAGAGTGGATGGCGGATAGCGAAGTTTCGGTGACACATCTTACCCCGGCCATGGGTCAACTGTTGTCTGCCCAAGCCAGCCGCCAGATCCCATCTCTGCGCAGCGCCTTCTTCGTCGGAGACGTCCTGACCAAGAGAGACTGTTCAAGACTGCAGGCTCTGGCGAAGAACGTCTGCATCATTAACATGTACGGCACCACCGAGACTCAACGGGCCGTGTCCTACTTTGCGATCCCGAGTGTCACGGAAGATCCTACCTTCCTGGCTACGCAGAAAGATATCATGCCGGCTGGTGAAGGGATGATCGACGTCCAGCTCCTCGTCGTGAACAGGAACGACAGGAACGTGCCGTGCGCTATTGGAGAAGTGGGAGAGATCTACGTCCGCTCTGGCGGGCTGGCCGAGGGATACTCAGATCCCGAGGCCACCGCCGAGAAGTTCGTCACAAACTGGTTCTCGGAGTCGCATCCGGGGTGGCGAGACACGATTTTGCATCCCGAGGACGGCTCGCCCGGGCCAGAGGCTGCATTCTGGAAGGGCATACGGGATCGTATGTATCGCTCCGGTGATCTTGGCCGTTACATGCCCGACGGCATCGTGGAGTGTACTGGCCGGGCGGACGACCAGGTCAAGATTCGCGGGTTCAGGATCGAGCTAGGTGAGATTGATACGCACCTCAGCCAGCATCCTCTGGTGAGGGAGAACGTCACCCTTGTGCGGAGGGACAAGGACGAAGAGAAGATCCTTGTTAGCTATTTCGTCCCGCTGGATGTTCCTGCTCTGGACGAATTTGAGAGCGATATACCGGACGGTGAAGACGACAAGGGTCTTGTCAAGGGGATGCGGCGATACAGGCGACTAATCAAGGATATTCGGGAGCATCTCAAGAAGAAGCTACCGAGTTATAGCGTGCCAACTTGTGAGCCAATCCCTCTTGCTTATTCACAACCTGTCTGATGCATTCTTCATTCTAGTGTTCGTACCCCTGAAACGGATGCCGTTGAATCCCAACGGTAAAATCGACAAGCCTGCGCTTCCGTTCCCTGACACCGCGCAAGCCGCTTCCGCAGAGCGGCCTCGTGAGGATGGGATAGGCGAGAAGGCTAGCTCTACAGAAGAGGCCATACGGGCGATATGGGCGAAGATATTACCCAATGCACCGAGTCCAGTCCCCTTGGACGAGAGTTTCTTCGATTTGGGCGGCCACTCTATTCTCGCAACACGTTTGATCTTTGAGATTCGCAAGACCTTCGCTATCGATGCGCCGCTAGGACTGGTCTTCGATAAACCGACCATCGGAGAACTTGCAGCGGAGGTCGACACTCTCCGCAATGCTGATCTGGGCCTAGCGGGTGAGAAGTCAGAGGACTCCCGCGCTGCGAAGGTCACACCTAAAGCGGCCGTCGTGTACGGAGAGGACTATGAGAAGCTGACGACGCAGCTACCCCCGTCTTACCGATCATTGCCCTCAGACTTCGGCAGTCGCCCTTTGACTGTTTTCTTAACCGGCGCGACGGGTTTCCTCGGCGCCTTTGTTCTTCGCGATCTTCTACAGCGAGCGGAAAGAGTGAAGAAGGTTATCTCCCTTGTTCGTGCCTCGTCATCTGCGAAGGCTCTCGACAGGCTGCGGGAATCCGTCTCTGATCGTGGCGTTTGGGATGAGGAATGGATCAAGACGGGGCGTCTCGAGGTAGTGACTGGTGACCTCAGCTTTGACCATCTGGGCCTTGGGGATGATGCGTGGAATCGCATCGCAAGTGAAGCCGATGTCATCCTGCATAATGGTGCACTGGTGAGTGAAGATAATTTTATGATCTTTTACACAGCATTTTGACACGTTATGCTCGCCAGGTGCACTGGGTGTATCCGTATGACAAACTACGCTCAGCCAACGTCATGTCTACTCTGACGGGCATGCAGCTGGCGGCGACAGAGAAACCAAAGGCGTTCGTGTTCGTCTCTTCGACGTCGGCCATAGACTCGGAGCATTATGTTCGCTTGTCAGACGCACAATCAGGCCGACCTGATGCAGGAGTGCCGGAAGATGACAACCTGGAAGGAGCAAGGTCATCATTGAAGACGGGTTATGGCCAGACGAAGTGGGTTTCCGAAAAGCTGCTTTTCGACGCTAGCCAAAGAGGCTTGGCCACTAGAATCGTTCGTCCAGGCTATGTCGTTGGCGCCTCGGACTCTGCAGGTGGGTACCCCTTTTCCTCCGATGGAACGCATGCTGAGACATTTCGTCATTCTTTTGCAGTGACAAACACTGATGACTTCATCTGGCGCATGGTGAAGGGGTCTATACAGCTCGGTTTGATACCTGATATCAACAACACTGTCAACATGGTGCCTGTGGATCGTGTGGCGACCTGTACTGCCCTTGCTGCTGTAACTCCCTTAGACGCCTCGCTCTCCGTGTTCCATGTTACCGCTAGACCGCTTCCCACCTTCAACCAAATTCTGACTTCACTGGCTTCGTACGGCTACGCTGTGCAGCAGTGCGACTATCTGGTTTGGCGGCGGCGTTTGGAGCAGCATGTCATGGAAGTCCAAGACAATGCCTTGTTCCCTCTGCTGCACTTCGTCTTAGATGATCTACCGACGAGTACCAAGGCTCCGGAACTCAACGATGCCAACACAAGGGCGCTGTTGACTCGCAATGGGTGCTCGCCAAGTATGACCGTCTCAGAGGACCTTATGGGGAAGTACTTGGCCTGGTTAGTTGAGGTCGGGTTTTTACCAGCACCTACCGTACCGACGGCAGAGAAAAGGCTACCTACGCTGGAAAATGGCTCCGCGACGAAAGCCGTCGGTCGCACGGGCCTCTAATCAAGACTCTCCACGGCGAGCCTCTGCTTTCTTCATTGCTAAAAATGGTGGTATCGCTACGCTGTGGACGTCAAATGAGCGACGTCTTCCTCCTTCGCGGACGCGGTTCCATGTCAGCTCTATTGAGTAAAGTGGATTAAAGTAGACTAGTGGCATCTGTGTACGATATACCGAACGACAGAACATGGTACCTGCTGATGGTGTCGCTCCTGTGTCTTGTGTACTGGACTCTCGACTGCTATTTAGTGCAGATTTCAGCGCGACTAGGTTGATGGTTTTGTTTCACAAGTGATTTATTGAGCTATCTTTCACGACGACGATTCGACCGGGTGGGGGCCCCACCAATAGGGTGTATTGGTTCCTGGCGCTAAGATTTGACTGAGATTATCTATTTGATCCGAGATGTCTTTGAGTGTCTCGATGGCCCCGGCGGGAGCGCCGCACTGAATGAATATCAAACAACGTAACCCCTGATATAAAATTTGTGGGGCAGAGTGCTGTGCTGCACCCGACGCTCGACGCTCATCGTCCGTCTTCGTCGTGCTCTTCAGCGAGAGTGAATATCGTCCTAGTCGATGCCGGTGCTCGAGCCATGGCAGCCTCCTAAAGTTACGACCACCACAGAACAATACTTACGAGTGGCGTCTCTCTCCATCGCCTTGTACGAGTGAGTGGATCGCTTGCAGCTTCATCTGGTTCACTGACATTGTCTCCGTCTTCATTGGCAGCTACATCCTTACTCTACCTGCTGAATGGAGAGTCTACCGTAGCCAACGTTCTCTTGCACATCCCAGGTACGTGCTTCCTGATGCTTCTCTTGATGATCAAATTCCATCCATAACGCATTCCGCCATGACAGTTTGTCTTGTTGCTTATTTATGTCAATACGGTATGTCTGGCACCGGGCGCGAAAGCATCTTTGCGTTAAAACAACAAACAGCTATGTCAGTGCAGTGGTAATGGTTGCCAGCAACGTCGGTTTCTTCTCGCATGCGTTCTCGGAGGAAGTCTGCGCTCGCTACTATATTGTGGCGCCCGTGTTCAAAGGTGAGTTGTCGGCCTTTCGGGGGCGGCGGAACATGCTAAGGATACGCTAGTTCTTCAAAACATGATCTCTCAGCTTATCCTAGGATTCCGGTCGGTTGTTTCTTTGCCCGCCTGTGTCGTCCTTCTGATTTCCCTGGCAGGACGTATAATATATCTCGCAGGTCTCGGACAACAGGATGCATCCTTCTTGTTCTATTCTTTATCGTGACTACTGTAAGTCGATCATCTTTTGAGGGACTCAGGTAACGAGCCTGTCCTAGCTCGAGTGGTTCACTAACATGTATGAGAGAATGCGTGAGTAACCTATCGTCTCTCTCATATTCATCGATACTCATCTTTCCCCAGCAATATCTCGTCTTGTATGTGAAAAAGTGTTACTTCGCCACGCTTTGCCCTGACATTGTCGGTTCTTCGCAACCCTTGACTGTTAGGGCAAGTGAGTATGAACTCGCCTCTACCAATTCCTAGTCCATCTGACCAAGTTCTAGCTGTACTCCAGGGAACGCGGAAGAACACTTAGTCGCCTGGTTGTACTATTTATTCGCCATGCTGTACGACTTTGGAACTTTGTGTATATCCATTTTCTATCTCGCACAGTTCAATCCCGACCACTCGCCGAGGTATGTGTCATATTGCGCCCATTAAGGAAGCGCTCCTGAAGCAATATCTTGCAGTACCCGAGTTACGCGTCTGATCAGGATGTGCGTGCTTCTTCATCATCCAATAGCTGGGTGGGCAGGCTGACAGGAAGTATTTAGGATGTTGTATGATGGCTTGCTCTACTTTGTAGCCCTGACAGGTACTAAGTCTTACGAATCTTTCGATCGCAAGATCTCATTGAGGCGGATTCTTCAGGCGTCAATGTATTCAACACAATACTATACAGGACCAGCGACGAAGCGCTTCAGGTATGTGTCAAGCCCGCTGTCCTTGCTGACGCTCATCGCCGGATCCCGTCCTTAGTCCGCTGGGTACGCATAATCGAGTCTGTGTGCTTAGGAAGAACACTAACCCTTTGCTGTAGCGCTTCTCTGGGATACGCCGTCACTTGGATCATGAGCCAGAAGATCCTGATCCATCTGCATGGTACGTTTGCTTTGATCCATGCACCAGGGACCCTCTGACGATAGCATCTCATAGACGCCGCCCTCGAGCGTGCATACGAAACCGGTGCTCCGGCAATCGTAGCGCACTCCCTGCGATCCCCCAGGGATATCAGCCAGGCAGTCCGCTCGCAGTTTGAAGAGCAGCACCAGAGCAATGCGAGCGTCGACCATGCCTCGAAGATACCTCAGAGCGGTCTGAGCTTAGACCACGGGGACTCGAGCGACCTGGCTGTGGAAGTGCGAGTCGAGCGCTTTATGACTGTGGAATGGGACGAGCATGCGTACGAACGCGAGAGCTACCGGATACCCAGGACGATGTGGAGCTCGAGCAGTCGTCGCTGATTATAGCTGCATGATTTCTGTGTACTTTGCCTCTGGTATATGCATCCGTTGCGCAGGCTCCGATCGATACAACTATCCTAACCATCATACGATTTGTCTGCCAGTGTCTACGAACTAGCGTAACCTCCCCTTACCCCATCAAAGAGAAAAAGTGGAGGTGTCGGCTGGTGTCGCAGATGCTTCGGATGCAGCCCTCGGAACCGCAGATACACGCAAGCTCCGCAGGAATGCGCCGTTGTCCTAAAACTGCGCTAGGAAAGCTGCGCACATAAAGAGATGAGGTGGAAGTCCATCTGCTTCGGCATAATTATACACCTTCAATACACCTATGACTGCAATCCTCCCGCAGGCTGCAGAGATTGCGGCGTGCTCCCATGAGTAATTCTTGGACGCCACACGGAACATAGGCGACTTTTATATCACCTACAGCGACCCGGAGGATTTATGATGTACAGACACCTACGGTCACGGCGAAAGAGACGACATTTCACTTGTGCCCAAGGCAGCTTGAGAGGTAGCTGGAGACGCGAAGGCCCCGTGAGTTGACGCGGAAATTGCAGGACATGCGGAACAAGGCCATCTCTACGCATTCATTCCCTCACTTACTGTTGCAATTCGCCCGTCCTTCCGTCACACCATCACGGTCCGTACTACTGCATTCACATTCGTCATAAACGCAGCTTGACACCCTTATCATACTGTGGCAAACTCACCCCTTGCGTTCGCCCACCACGGTAGGACAGCAGCACCTAGATAGCTAGACGACAACAGTCAAGAGATCAAACGCAATGCACTCTACATGCCGATTCAGAAACATTATGCTACCCAGATCCCTAAAAGATATCGCAGTGTTAAGTGTTCAGTCTCTCTCACAACGGTGCAGATATGTGAGTTAAACCATGACTAGGGCTTAAGCTGGAGGTGGTGGAGGGGGTGCTGGGTCGCTAGGTGGAGGAGGGGCGGCACCATTCGGAGCGGGCGGAGAAGCTCCAGGCACTTGGCTGGGCGTGCCGTATCCTTGTTGAGCATAGTATTGAGCGTATTGCTGTTGCTGGCTTGCAGCCCATTCCTTGAACTGCGGAGAGTTCACGTCGTAGCCGTATGCAGCCCTGAAAGACGCCAACGATTAGACTTCAACAGGCAGATATGAAGGCTCGCGGTGTATCCTTACCAATATGCGGCGTACGCATCCACGTCATTCGCTGACGGAACAGCGCCTTGACCGGCCCCTGCTGGGGCACCGCCCGGAGGAGGTGGGGGTTGGCTCCCGTCAGGAGGTGGTGGTGGTGGAGATGCACCTGGAGGTGGCGGAGGAGCGCCGCCCGGCTGAGGAGCATAACCCTAGAAGCCGATGCGAGAAGGTATGTCAGCATTACGCCACAAGATCCGCGCAGTCAGTGACACTGCACGTACGGTATACGCAGCAGCGTAGGAAGCATATTGCATCTGCGCTTGATGTAGTTCCATTTGCTGGTGCTGAAGCCACTGTGCAACCTTGGCGTGTTCGGCGCGCACTACCTCAAGCAGGTCTTCCGTAAGCACTTTTGCGCGAGCTACCTGGGATTCATCGGGGCCACTGGAAACCGCAGCATTAGACTCAGGAGACCTACGCTAAACGATCTGACGCACGTTACATGAATATACATCGGCACTTCCTCCTCACGTCCCGTCTCTTGGTTGACGAATCCGGAACCGAGACCTTTGATCTGAACCCGAGTCCCCGTTTCCGCTTGGATATATTTCACGAACTGACCGGAAGGTCCGACAACCTTCGCCCGCACGTTGAAGTTGCGGATGGACTCCAGTCCGATCGGGAGCTTCTCTTCAGGCCATTTCCGCTACGTTATCAGTCAGAATGTGAGACAAGCCGGGCATAAACCAGCAGCGATGTGGATCCGCTCGTGGACCAAAACGGAGATGAGTGCACTCACCTTCTCGCGTAGTCGAGAGCTTTTATCCTCCACCAAAGGTCCCAGATCCGTATTAATGAGCTCATTAACCTTGTCTATCGCCTTCTGCAACACTTCCCTCGATGAGGCAGAGATGTGAAGATACAGCGGCGGGTCCTTCTCGGTCGCCTTTGCCCTATCTGGGTACCATGTTCCCTTCGTGCTAACTGAAGCACCCGTTTCATCATGAATCTGTTTAGCGGAGGTCAAGGAAAGCAGACGTGCCATCTCCGCTCATTGCAACTAACCTGCTGCTGGGTAGATCCCTTCGTCAACATGTACCTATTTCTGACATCGTTAATGTCGATATCATGCGTGAAGTCAGCGTCGTGGGGGTCCTTGCCGAGCGGCGATGCGCCTGCGTATTGGGCAGCGATTTTTGCAGCAATGGCGGCGGCTGCGGCTGCTGCTTCAGACGCGCTCTTCCCGTCCTCGACCTTGACAGCTTTCGACGCCGACTCGCCCTCTGCTGGGTCGTCCCATTTGCGCTTCGACGACATGGCTGATGATGGTCGCAGTAGAAGAAGTGTTTATTTGGTACTATTTGCCGCACGTGGCGAGGATTCTTGGGGGGGGGGGTTACGTAAGCCAATCTATGTCCTGCTTTTGGTGACTTCAGGTACAGGCTAAACCTGGGGCTCGCAGTAATGTCGGGGCGAAGACTATAGAATGTTAAATCATCGTAGGCACCCTTTCTAGAGCTTTCACTTCACTCGTGTCTGCCATTTATTCTGTCTGTGGCTTGAGCGTACTCGTCTGAAATTCTGCGAAATTACTGCCTCTCACGCCAGCTTAGATGGCCAAGGGCAAGAAGCCAACTACGCAGGAGCTCTATGAACTCCGGAGGCAGCGAGAAGAACAGGAGAAGGAAGCATACCTTCCTCCGGGCTTGATTAACCATGGAAATACTTGTTTCATGAACTCTGTATTGCAAGGGGTACGTTGTATCGCTCAATACTGAGGCTCCAGGGCTCTGACAACTTTACAGCTGATAGCTACGCCTCTACTGTATAATCTAGTCCACTTTCAACCTATTCCCCCATCCATACAGAACGCCACATCCACTCCTCCGATATTGTCCAGTCGGTCGCCCCAACTCACCAATGGCCATAGGCTGGGTGGCGACTACGAGAAGGAGTGGGTGGAAGGTATGCCCTTAGGGGATACGTTCTTCAGGGTCATGGAGAAAGCTTGGGACATCCAGAATGACAGACGGCGAGAATCAATGAGTCCAAAGTGCGTCTTCCACCCGTCATCCCCTTCCTGCTGCATATACATACCTTTCTATCTCTCATATGCTGTGATATGTTCCTGCGTACTGATAGGCTGTCAGGGATCTGCTGTCGGCGATCGGCCGTAAGTACGACCAGTACTTGGATTTTCGCCAGCAGGACGCCCATGAATTCCTGAGTCATTTACTCGATGCCATGCGAATGGAGGAGAAAGATGTAAGACCACCCTGTGTTCATGGTCTGAACTAAATTATCTAATGTGCTCGCACAGATTATCAAGAAGCGGCAGCCTCCCCCACCGTCCAAGCGCAAACGCAAACGATCACCTAAGCAACCTTCAGCGTCCACTTCCACAGCAGGAACTGCCTCGCCACGTCCACCACCCGTCCGGTCCTCACTGTCCACAGTCCCAGAAGTATCTACCTCAGAGCATCCGGGTCCTGTGGTTGACGATGATCCCACATCCCCGCCTATTCCCGATGAAGAGAAGCTCGCTACTTTCTCAGATATGCTCTTCGGCGGAAAGCTCGCCAGCATACTGGTGTGCGAGAAGTGCAAACACATCTCATGCACGTACGAGGACTTCAATGATCTCAGTTTGAGTATCAAACCCGAGGACTACGTCCGGGAGCGTAAACGGGACAAGCTGAAGACGTTTGCGAAGAAGCTTAGACTGCGCCCGGGTACCAGCCCTGGACAACTTCCGAATCAAAGTGTCCGGTCGTCGTCGGTACCTGCAAGCCCCATTCGGCGGAGCTCACAGCAGGCTGCTGATCATGAGCCGCCGGTTGAGGACCGTGTCAGACGACGAAGTATAGACGCAACCCCCGTCACAGAAGAGCCGCCTAGGACCGGCCCTATGAGTCTTGCTGCCAGCACTGAATTAGAAGGCCCCCCGCAGGATGAATGGCAGGAGATAGGAGACGGAGAGGCCAAGCAGTCAGAGGAGAAAGGGTCTCTCGACAGAGACCACATAGAATTCGTCGAGCAAGAGAGGCCGGAGAAGGAGAAGAAGGATAAGGACAAGGATGACAATGACTGGGTCAAACTTGGCAGACGAATAAGTATGTCCATGTCTATGGGGATCGGGAAGAAGGACCGGGAAAGAAAGAGCCGGTCGATGGAGAGGTCTCGGTCCAGCAGGTCTGAGCGTAGTAAGTCTAAGGCCGCATATAACGAGGATGTTCCATCCTCTCCAGCATCTTTCGCGCAGACCTTCAGCTCGACCGAGTTCAAACTTGGGCAGCCCCCTTCCCCGGCCATTGCGATCAAGGGAGGGGAAGACATTCCTTCTCGCGGCGCGAGTCCTTCGCCCAATCTCACAGCCTCGCCTTTCGTGTCGGGTTCTCCTCGGTTGCCTATTATCAGAAGGGCTGGGAGCCCATCTCTAATCGGCAGCAAGCATGTGAAGACGCCTCGGCCGCCAAAGCTGTCCAGGGAGGAGTCAGCATATCTCCGGAGACTTCTTGCTGATGTCCCCTTGCCACCTTCTTCTTCACCGTTGGCTATGTTCAGACCACCTTCGTTCTCAGGAGCACATCCTCACCATCACGGCCATGGGCACCATCACCCGCCCCACTCAGCGACAAGCACCGCGGCACAGAATCTTTGGGCTAAGTTAGGTCACCTCCCAAGTATAGAAGAATGCCTTAGATTATTCACGTCCGTGGAAGTCCTGGATGGTGACAATATGGTGGGGTGCAGGAGGTGCTGGAAGATTGCTAACGGTACCTACTACAGTCGCTCATCTAAGGCTGGTAAGGAGATTAAACCGCGTGCGGGCATCGACGTGGAAGACTCCGATAGCGAAGAAGACAGTGAGGAATCCTCACCCCAGGAGAAGAAGTCTGAAACTCGCGGCCGATCAGAAAACGCTCCCGAGCGTTCTCCTTCGGCATCTCCAGCGATACGGCCTGTGTCCTTACCGGCTTCGGTTAGAAATGCTTCCTCAGAGCCTGTGGCTCTCCCGGAGGCTGCCTCAGAGATACTGTCTCCTGCTTCATCCACTGCTTCTCTGAGCGCCCAGTCAGCCCGGTCGACGGAGTCCTCTATCCTCAATGCGCAAGGGGATGATGGAACATCGCTATCGTCCGTAGCAGCGACCGTAGCTTCATACTTGCTTCCTGCATATCGGTCGAAGCCTAGTGCCCCGCCAGCACCACTTAACCTGCCTGACGAGCCGGGCAGTGATGCTCCCCAAGCTAACATCTCGCCTCATCCGCCCGTGTCCGCGTACGGTGGTCTCCCAATCCCCTCCATCTCCACCACCGCTCCGGAGTCGCCTTTGACTTCTGCTCAGACGGTGAAAGCACGATCCGAGCGACCCCTCCCGGACCTGCCGCAGGACCCGCCGCAGGCCTCCTCATCCAAGGATTCACTGAGGGCCCCGCGAATCCGTTTCGGCCGGTCGAAGCGAGAGAGTAAAGGAGACGAGTCTGACAGCGACCTGGACAGCGATAGTGAGGACTCAGACACCGAGAGCAATGCTTCTAGCAGTGTCACTGGGTTCTCTGATGGATCGCCCATGATGTCGCCTTACGCGTCCCCCGTCATGTCTCAGGAGAATCTGTCCTCTGCCTCGCGATCTGCAATGGGTCTCGGCCTGTCTCTGGGGAACGAGTCGAACGCCACCTCGGCGGATAACAGTACCACTCGAGTGTCGGAGAAAAAGAAGATTCCCCGGTCCAAACAGGTCATCATGCGGAGGGCATACAAACGATATCTCATCGCGACGGCACCGCCTATTCTCATCATTCACCTGAAGCGTTTCCAGCAAGTTTCGAAGCACCCGGCGTTCTCGTCGTTTTCCAGCGGCTTCAAGAAATTGGATGACTTCGTATCGTTCCCTGAGTACCTCGACCTTGGGCCGTACCTTGCCCCCCATAAGGAGGATTTTGGACTGGGCACGGACGGGGTCGAGCAAAGACCCGAGCTGCCTTTACGCTCGAAGGGTCGCGAGAAGTGTATGTACCGGCTCTATGCCGTGGTTGTGCATATCGGGAATATGGTAGGTTCCCTGCCGCCTCTCCTGTGCCTTGGCCAATGCTGATTGCGCCGTACCCTATGTCAGCTTGGGGGCCACTACATTGCATACACCGCCCTGCCTGATGCACGTTCACCGCTGCGGCGCTCGGGATCACAACAGTCCTCCACAGGAGAGCTGTCCGGTGACGCACAGCCGGGCAACGCGCAGTCACAAGCTCAGTCTGCATCTAGCGGTGCCACCAAGCCTGCGGATTCCCCGCGCCAGTGGGCATACATCAGCGATACCGTAGTGAGACTGACGACGCTCGATGAAGTTCTGAAAGCGAAAGCCTATCTATGTATGTATGAGAGAGTCTAGTTGTCTTGGATCCATTTGGGACTGTGGGACTGGCGGTGTCTCGGACTTGGATAGAATCAACCTGAATTGTCAATGCCGTGTAGCCTATTGTCCCTGTATTGATCTGTATTGAAAGCACATCCTATCTATAATCTCTGTATGTCCATCATTGATATTCCACCTTTACGCTTGGTCTTGTTCCAGCAGAGTGATTCTCAAGACTGAAGTGGCGTTCCGACGGCAGACTGCCCATCAGTTTCTCAGCGCCGAGCTCGGGACTTCACTGACAGTGATACATGAACCTTACAACGTTGACAGTTCGTTCCTTATGACAGGCGAACGCCTTTAGGTCGATGGGAGGCAGAGAGATACAAGAGAGCAGCTGAAGGACGTACGCATGAATAGATTATATATGCTCTGCTTCTCAGTTATATATCCTGCACCGACTCGCGCACTGGATCGATAGGCCGGGGTCCGCTGCTAGAGTTCACTGCCCTCCTGAGTTCAACGGTAACCAAACACCAATCCTGAGAACATCCGTGTGTCTGCGTATCCGTCCTTGATGCAGATAGCCGCGGACTGAAAGGGAGCCGTCGCTGGATTCAATTCGGGAATTGTTCGCACACAAACATCTCCTGCCACATCCGTCCTCATATGTCAGGAAAACAGCCATCTCAGGCACACAATCGAGGATGCAAACCCATCGCAACCCTAAGTTACAGCTTCTGGAAGACGGACAACTCACGACCGGGGCAGCGCTCGTTGGGCGCCTTTGGAATGTTCCATAAGCCGCAGCCACCGACGCACGTTCGCGAGCACTTAAGGTGACTGGGTAGGGCGACGTGTAGTCGGTCCAATGTTCCCCTTGCCCCTGATGTCTAGATGTGCCGCGCTCCCGCGACTCTGGTAGGGGGGCGACCGTGAAATGGGTATTATGTCGGGGTGCCGCTCTTAAGCCTAAGTTGTGACTGGCGCAGACATGTCGTTCTCCCAACCAAGGCACTCCTCCATGGATTTCTTAACAGCAGAACCGGAACCTCTCTCCCCGGGCTCGAGGATTCTGAGTCCCCCACCGAGGTGCGTGCGTGCCGTGCGTCACCCGGGCGTTGACGCTGAATCGCCTGGATACTAGGTACATGTCTCCAACATCGGGTGTCACGCAACCTAGCGAGGAGGACTACAGACCCATGCTAAATCCTCAGGCAAGACCGCGAGAGTCCTCCGTGTACCAGAGCCGTCCAAGACCGGAAGATGGCCTCCCTGCGAATGGTCGAGCCAGGAGTGTCCGGCGTGATTTGCCGAGCCCTCCCGCACCGATGAGCCCGCTCCCCTCCCCGCCTATGGAACCAGGATCGTCGTACCCCGAGAATCACCTTGCGGTCAACCACAGACGAGCTCGCGGGTCAGAGAGCTCTGGCTCAAGTAATGGTCACCCTCCCAATGGTTACACTAGCCCATCGTGGCACCCCGTACGTCGGGCTTCAGGCGAACCTCCAAGCCCCTTACACTTAGCTACGTGAGCCGTCCCAGTTCAGTTTCTAGTCACCGGCAACACGCTAAACATACCTCCAGGCCCGGTAGCTTTGACAGCGCTCAGTCACCTGGGAGGCCATCGAATCATACCGCCCGCTACTCTTTTTCTCAGTTGTCATGGAACTCTATGATTCTGTCCCCGTTGGAAGTCACGGGAACTGCTGAGCGTATCAGGCAGGCCGAGTACCACATCTCAGTCGGCATGAATTGTTTTCTTCCCGGGACAGCGTTCATTACCACCATCAGGAGAGGAGGCTCTGCGGAGGGGGAGGTCATCGGCGAGATTGAGTAAGTCTATTTCCTACTACTATCCGTGCAATCCCATCGTGACGGGTAGGTCATGCAGAATCGGAAACCCTGAACATGGAAAGAAGGGTGGGACGGTCCGAGTGGGTAGTACGAAGGTCTGGCTGAATAAGGCTCTCAGGAAGGGCGCTGGCAACCATAAAACTGTGATTCGTGCTTTGTACCCGCTGATAGGAGACCTGACTGACTATCTCCAACTTCGGTTACAGTCGGCGTTTTCATGGAGGAACCCTTGGTCTTGGGAATTCCCTGGACGTACGCAACTGCTGTGGAATTGCTCGGACCAGTTGAAGAAGGTCGGTTAATTGCTGTTGTTCATGCCATGGTAGTCGCTAAAAGAACACGACTTCAGTGTCACCGAGTGAACTACACTGGGGGCCGAGATACCACACCGCTTGTCGCCTCTTTCAGCCCGCCTCACTCGGATGACAAGGATGTCGTCGTTGTGTCTTCTCCTGCGATTCTTGAAGTTGCCGGGCTGGATAGTCAGGAGACGTTCGATCATGTTGTGATCTCCGTTCTTCTCTTGGAGCGCAAGAGGTTGCTCCCCACATAGTAGCGTGGATAGCTATCTATTTAATGGTGAGCCCTCCTTCCACTTTGATCCGCACGCTAACGGCGAGTGTAGTAACCTATACCATTGCTGGAATCTCGCTACCCGGGCATTGTATTCCCTCTGTGATTGTAATATCGCTATCTTACGTCCTTTCTGCTTCAGTACCTCATTACCCATTCCGAGTCCCTGGTTCGCGTCTCTTTTCGCTGTTTGCTGGCTCCGTGTGCTCCCCAGATGTAAGGGCATAGATTTTGCACTGATTTTTGAAGTAATGTACTAGGTATGATAGACCAACGACTCTGCCCGTGTGGCTCTAGTGTGGCTGCATCGTGTCTAAAGCTGCGCCACTTGTGCAGGTTGAACCGGATATGTGGCCCGCGTGCCGAGTCAACTGCTTCAATATACGGCTTTATCTCGGAATCGGGCATCCACCATGGACAGTCCTCAAGCGAGATATAGGAGTGTGCTGAACTCGTATCCCAACGCTAAGATCCTCCTAGGAAACGCAAGAGTTAATTTGCATCACGAACTGACCAGTCAACGTTAACGGGCATACAAAGATGACGACTCTGATGAATGCATTATATTACGACGCGGTATGTTATCTCTGATTGCTATACCTTCACCCTTTGTGCACTCTGCCAGTGATAAGGCTAACTACCGTCAAAGCCAAAACAGTTTGGTGTCAAACAAGTACCAATTCCCCAGATCACGGATGATCAAGTACTCGTGAAAGGTTTGCAGTATATTCAATTCAAACAATTGGGAGTCGGACGCTGATGTAGGTAACCCGACGTTCCAGTATCGTGTTGTGGTGAGTACCATGAGCACGCATATCTGTTCTCCTGGATACTGATTATATGGAGAGGCGTCTGCGGAACCGACGGACATGTCCATGTCGGCGAATTTGGGGCGCAATTCCCTGTTCGTGCTCAGTCACCTACACTGCTGTACAGCGTCGTTAACCCCAGGCCATCTCGTAGCTAATCCCAGGGCATGAGATAACGGTGAGGAATTACGAGAGCTGTATAATAGTTTACTTATGTTCTATAGGGCACCATCGCCGCTATAGGGAAACATGTCAAAGAGTTCGCCGTTGGCGACAGATGTGTAGCAGACCCATCTATACTGGTTTGTCCAAATTCCCATACGAATCATAAGCAGCTCTCACTAGTATCCATTGTGTAGTGCGAGAACTGTTTCTACTGCCGCAGGGGAAAGCATGTCCTCTGTGAGAATTATCAGGGTAGAGGCGTGCACGTCGCGGGCGGGTTCGCGGACTACATTGCATTGTCAGTCATTCGCCTCCACTCTTCTCTTCTCGCACCAGACCGACGGGAATGACAGCGACGTCAAGAAGGTATACAAGATCAACAACCTGAGCGAAGAGGAAGCAGTGCTGGTCGAGCCCACAGCATGCGCCGTGCACGGCATGGACAAGCTCAACGCGCCCGTCGGCGTGGAGGTACTGCTCATCGGCGCCGGCCCCACGGGACTTGTGCTATCCCAGCTACTCAAAATCAACGGCGCGTCGAAGGTGGTCATCGCTGCGCCCAAGGGGCCGAAGACCGAGATTGCTAGGCAGCTGGACGCGGCGGACGAATACATCGAATTGGATAGGAAGAACCCAGAAGCACAGTGGGCGCAACTGAAGAAAGACTATCCTTATGGCTTCGATGTTGTGGTATGCATCGTTTGACTATGTCAACGGGCGGCTGATATTGACCGCGATTATCGTTAGGTCGAGGCCACAGGTACTGAGAAGATCGCGAACGAAGCAATCAACTACGTACGCCGAGGAGGAACTCTCCTCATATACGGCGTATACGACGAATCCGCTCTGGTCCACTGGAAACCATCCAAGATATTCGGTGATGAGATCAACGTACTGACTCCACTCTCTGAAAGCTAGAGAGGGCACTGACCATATATCAATGCAGATCATTGGGTCATTTGCGCAGACGCACTGCTTCCCCCGCGCGGTGGCTTACCTGGAGAGCGGTAAGATCAAGACCAAGGGGATCGTAAGTCTTGTCTACGTTGGATGCAAGCACGAATCATGACACCTTGCAGGTGACTGACGTCCTGAGCCTTGACGACTGGCATAAGGTTCTGGAAAAGATGGAGAACCGCGGGGCAGTGAAGATTGCAGTGAAGCCCTGATCTCGAAGTACAGATTAACGATACATAAACACAACACTTGACATATCACCTCCCCCCCCCCCAAAGTACAGTAATGGATGCGGAATATAGTCGATCGAATAGCCCGTGCGGAAGTATAGCTGGCGATTTTGCAAGGTGTATAAGCATATTGAAGGGTATGGCGCGCCCTGGGGGAAACCCCAACTAGTTCAGAGCTTCCGTGGCGTCCACCTCTAGCCGCTCAACGAGACCGTTCCCCAATTTCTTCTCGATGTTATGAACCCCGCTTTGAGCTTTTACGAGTCCAAAACCGAAGCTAACCCCACCACCCATAGACCTCTCCTCTCCGTGTCCCCCGCCCGTTTTGAACTCCTCCACAAGTTTACATAGTCCCTCTTCCGTCGTCCAAGCGCCCGTGTAACCTATCCCACCTTTAGAAGGCGGTAGCCGCGCACGAGAATCGTCGAAAATCAGGTGCACCATTGTTAACGCGAACATGGACGGCTGCAGGTTAACAAGGTCGCCTCCGATCGCCGGGAGCAGGGAGCCGAGCAGATGGAGTAACGAGGAGGGTGAGTCGAGCAGGAAGAACCGCGCCAGGTAGTATGCTTCGAACATGTGAGCAAGCAGCAGCATTGCCGTAGGCGAGAGCAAGGGGAACTTGGTCTCCCCATTCGTCAGCGTCGAGAGCGCGATATAGACATCGCCGTAAGTGATAGGAGGGCCGGGGTCGCTGATTGCGAACGCCTGGCCACCCAGATCTGGTTTCGCACCCTTGAGGTTCTCCAGTAGAGCTTGCTCGTAGTTCAAGTGCGCGAGAGATACATTCTCGACGTAGGCAAAGTTCTGCAGGATGTGTCCGATCCACGTCGGGTTGTCCTTGCGGACGAGGTACGCGCCGCACAGTATATCGCCACCAGGACCGAATATTCCGTTTCCAGGCCGCAGGGCGCCCGTTTTGAGCACGCCGTTGCCAGAGGATGTACCGTCTGCTTGGCGGATCAGCGATTCCGCCTCTCGTTTCGTTACAGCATAGTTAGAGAAGAACTGGTCGTGCTGCTTTGGGATGATATTGTCGTCGTCATTCAGCGTCTGCACGAAGTACTTCGGCTCTTTCTCCCAGGGCCACAGCCAGAACCGACTGCGGCGGACGGTGATGGAGCCAGAAGAGGTGTATACGAGGATGCTGGCTCCAATAGCCCGCGCAGCGCTTATGACGTTCCTTGTGCCCTCCACATTCACCTTCGCGGACTTGGGCACGAGCGACGGATGGCGCTCGTAGAAGCGGATGCCCGCCGCGGTGTGGAAGATGGTCAGTTCAGGCTCGGGCCCGTCAGTCTCTGGCCAGGGCGCATTGAACGCGTCCAGGATGGCAGAGGCGTTGGTGATATCGACCTGGCGGAAGTCGACGTCCCTCGCGGGGCCGGTGGTCAAGTCGGGGCGCGTCGGGGTGCGCAGATCGAGCACTCGGATGCGCCGGGGGTCTTCGCCCCGTTTGAGCAGGTGAACCACAATCCACCCGCCCAGGAACCCTGCCTTCGTTCAACAAACCTGTCAGATAGACACGCATATACCGAGGTTGAATGCAACATACCCCACCGACCACGATGTACCTCCGCCCCGTCTTCGGCGGCAGGTAATCCTCGATCAACTTGGGCTGGTTCGCCAGCCGCTCTGCTGCCTCTCTGGAAGACTCGGCTGTCATGCGTTTGGGATTGAATGAAGCTGCCTCGGGCGGTAGTTGCATGAGCTTGCGGTCATTCTGTTTGATGTAGATGACGAGTAAAGCGACTAGCACCCCGGAAACAATGAGCCAGTTCAACCAGGACATCGTACCGCTCATGTCAGGCAAAGTTCCCGGCGTAAAGCCTAGGAGGAATCGTAGACGACGTGAGTCGACAAGGACGAGAGACTGAAGTGGTCCGACGTGGAGGATGTGGCTGCCAAAGGCCTTGCTTCCCCGCCAGCATGTCCCGAATTACCAGTTCCATCCCAAACCTTATGAATTACCGCGGAGCAGCGCTGAACTTTGAACAAGACATAGGCGCCGTTGCTTGAACGCCTTGCTGCCGACAGGCTGCGCAGATGCGGAGACACGACAAGAGGAAGTCATTTCGGAGGTAAATTTCCGCCAGGACTTATGACTTCCGACATTCCTATCCACGGCAACTATCACGGGTAAGAGCACTTGCTACAATCCCAAAACATTCATACCGTCGTCTGAAGCACGATCCTCAGTTACTACTCCAAGCGACCCTCGAACGCGGACCCGCGATTAGCTCTCTTACCACCTTCAATATTCGAAGGGAAGCGTGTCCTTGACATAGGGTGCAACGAAGGATGGGTGACGTGCGAGATAGGTACGTATCACTGTCGCGATGTTATGCTTCGTATTTACTGAGAACCTCAACAGCACAGAAATGGGGCGCCCGTAGAGTCGTCGGTGTGGACATTGACGAGACCCTCGTTCGGGCGGCCTGGAAACGCCGGCGGACAGTTTGGAGTCTCCAACGCCCTCCTTCTGAACCTTCAGACGATAGGAAGCGGAAACGCGAGCCAGACGCATCCGGCTTGGCCGCGCGTACTGAATATGACTACTTCCCCGCATCCTGCGAGTTCATGTTCGGCCCTCTGCCTATCCCCGCATTTGAAGCTACTGAAGCTCACAAATTTCCTCATAATCTGTCTTTCCGGGCTGCGGACTGGGTGGAGAGCAGTATTCCTGAAGATGCGGAAGGGTACGATGTGATCGTCGCGTACGTGACCCAATGGCTCATGTGTTAGCTCTGCTCATGACGTACATATAGGTTCTCCGTATCGAAGTGGATACATCTGAACGGGGGAGACAGTGGCTTGATCAAGTTCTTCCAACGGGTGTTCGACGCACTCAAGCCTGGTGGCTCATTCGTTCTTGAACCCCAGCCTTGGGATTCGTACGGGAAGGCTAAGCGATTACATCCTGTTAGTCCATATAGCACTTGCTTGACGGGGTCTCTGTCTTAATTTTCTTCCTTAGACACTGAAGGAAATTGGGAACACTCTCCAACTTAAGCCGGATAATTTTGGGAGAGAACTCAAGAAAATAGGGTTCAGCGAAGCAAAACGTCTAGGAGCTCCTGGCGAAGGAGGTGTGTTTCTTCTCCTCTGAAATATGGCAAATTTGGCTGAGATTACAATGTTCGACGCAGGCTTCAAGCGTCCTGTAGAACTGTATACTAAAGTATAGGCGCGGCTTACTGCTTTTTTCGCGTCTGTAGTTGGATATCCCGATTGGGCTTAATGAGACGCGACGCGATCGATGTCACGTGACAGACACTCACGAGTTATTTTGGGACTGCTATTCTAAATGCGCCTTTGTTGCGTCGCGTATCTTTCCTTCACTCTATCCGCCTCCTTGCAGCTCTGTGTGGCCCAAGTTTCGTGGGACGAGCATGCCTGGGCCAGGTAAGAGCAAGTCGAAGGCGAAGACCAAGACGACACGGACCAAATCGCCGGCACAGACATATGCACGAGAAGCGTTTGTAGATGACATTGATCAGTCGGAGGGGTGGGATACGACCGTCCACATCCTCTGTGAACATTTTCAACTCCCAGGTTAGTTCTCTGTCCTGTGAGGTTGTCTCTACATCGTCGTACTCATTCGTGCAAAGATCTTACCACGAGAAATGGGCTGAAAAAAGTTCACGCAAATTTCGATGAAGTATATCGCCGGCTAGACGAAGCCTACAAGAATAACCAGGGAAACGAGAGAGTATTAGGGGGGATCATCGGGATTTGGGCCAAAATGTGCGCAGACTCTATTCTGCGAGACAAACTCTTCCGGGCAGGTACGTTCCATGAGTACCTGGACGATGCAATAACCTATCTATCATCTAGGATTCTTGACCAAGCTCATTCCCTTATTGTACGTGCCCGCATGCCGGCACTTAGCATTGAGAGCTCTGTCTACGGTCACGCACCATGGCGGCGTGGAGTCTCGCATCGAAATCGCAAAGAAGACGCCCGCTCTCCTGGAGGTGATCCACGAAAACCCAGACGATGCTAAAGTTGCAGAGCTATGTCTGGTAGTTATGTGCCATTCGATCGCTGCAGTAGTCGCTGTAGAGCAAAAGCCCGATCCCAAGATCCTCAAGACGATAGATATCCCGCAGGTGCTCCGAACTACGGTAGGCGAGCTACGGAACCCCAGGGCTTCCTACTATCTCATCTCGCACGCGGCTGGTCTTCTATCCGGCGCAACAATGCACAGTTGGAAAGACTACAAGGCTTTCCAACCGGCGCTCACTTTCCTCGTCGCGGTGCTACGAGTCAAGGACATTAACATCCGTTGCGAAGGCCTGTGCGGGGTTATCCGCTACCACAACGACATCGCCGAGCCAGACCAGAGGCACAGCGACCCCCAGAAGATGCTGGCGGCGCTGCGCCGTGGCTTCCCTCCGCACCTCAACGACGTCCTGATGGCGTACGGGCCGACGCGGTGTGACGTCTACCTCACGCTGCAGTGCATGAACGAGCACACCAAAGCGATGATGCAGAACGCGCAGGACCGCGACTTCTACAAGCTGGGCAGGGTCGTGGCGCGCCTGATCACGACGACGGAGTTCTCGATGACGGAGGGGATGTTCCAGAGCGACGAGGAGACGGGGAAGCGCGTGAACATCGACCTCGGGTTGCCGTACACGATGTGGTCGGACGCGCTCCCGCACTGCGCGCAGGCGCTTCGGTCCAAGGGCGATCTGGATCAAGCAGACATTGTCGAGCTAAAGTACATGATCATGAAGGGCCGCATACCGCAAGCCGTCGAGCTCAGCAAGCAGGCGATCAAACGCAACCCCGAGGTTGCGTACTTTTACTACGCGATCACGATGACGGCGGATATGGAGCTGGGCTTGCGCTATGCGAAGAAGGGTTTGAAGGCGAGGCAGATCACGCCGTTCGTACGGTTCGGCTTGCTCCATCGTGCCGTGGACCATGCTGGTACGCTGGCAATCAGGATCCTGACTAGTCCTGATGGATACCACGGCGAACGCAAGTGGGAAGAGGGCGTGGCTTTCTTGACGAGTGCCCTGGAAGACGCAAAGACGTTCATCGAGAACGCCCCGCCGGATTCGCGGCATATGAAGAACATGCTGAACTGGTACATTATTTTGACCTTGACCATCAAGGGTCCCGATATGTCTCCTGAGATGAAAGAGTTGGACGTACGTCATTTTCCACTGATACAGTTCGCATGACTAAATCCTCCGTTGATTCAATGGTGCAGGACGCATTGAAGAAATTGCAGGTCGCCGAGGAGTGCAGCGCATTCTGCGGCCACCCAATACCCAACACTGAGCTGCGCCTGACCCGGCGCGCGCTCATCTCGCTCTACCCGTCCGCGGTGCAAGAATGGGGCGACGTGGTCCGCCGCTTCGACGAGCAGGTTGCGGCGCACGAGGACGTCGAAGAACTCCTCAACAAGTCGAAGGAGGAGCAGGAGGACGACCTTGCGGCGTGGCTGGACGACTTGCACCTTGACAACGGCGAGCGCGACCACCCGCACAAGTGCTCGCACCCGAAGGTGAACGTGAATAGTGTGAGCCTATACCGGTGTTCGTGGTGCGGGAACCCAAGCGCTGTGCTGCGCAAGTGTGGGGGGTGTAATAAGGCAAGGTGGGTGGGATGGACATTTCTAGTATTCACATTTGGTTGATGAAGATGGCTCGGATTATAGGTATTGCGATGCTGGTTGTCAAAAGTCGCATTGGTCGACCCACAAGAGTGTTTGCAAGTCAGCTTGAACTTGATGCATGATGTCCCGCGGCCTCCCTCCGTGTTTCCGCAGTCGCCTGTATTTTTAGTCTGTATCCTGCTATCAATATTCCCGATGTATCATACCATATGCTGTGAAGCTAACCCAATAAATGAATTGTGCTCTCATTCTTCGTGCTCACCTGTAACGCGGTAAATGGTGCTGTTCGCATGCGAATCCACAGGGGCCTGATTCTCTTTCGTAGAGACATGCCTGGGCACTGGGATACAGAATTACAGTGAGCGGTTCACAAATTAGGGCGAAGCCGCAGACACGTCTGCGCACCATAAATACATTCAATATAATACAATGGGATACAACACTGACAGATTAATGAGACCAGGTACATTAAGTACAGAACACGACACACGACAAATCACGCGAATGCAACTTGGAGACTGCTCACAGTTTCCTCCGCTTGCTGGAGCGATTAGCTTCGAGAGCCGCGTCCCTCCGCTCGTCCACCCGCTGCAAGAACTCCACCTTCTCGAGGTACCCGCCGCCGCGCCGGTTGGCCTCGAGCTCGTCCTTGAGCGCCTGGTCCTGCGCGGCCTTCGCCTGCCAGTCCATCGCAGACTTCTCGAGCGTGCTAAGCTTCTTGGGCTTTTGTGAGGATGGGAGGGGGGCGAGGGTCACCTTCGGCTTGCGCGGGCCGGGCTTCTTTGCGGGTGGTTTTGTGGCGGGTGTGGGTGTGGGCGCAGGGGTGGAGGAGGAGGGGACCGGCTGAGCTTCTGGGGCTATTACCTCTGGTGGGGCGCTGTGCGGTTGGATTGAGGATACGGCCGGAATGGAGGCAGGGGTGGCAGGCGATTCGGAGTCTGGGGGCTGCCATCGAGGCCATCTCTTCGCGTCCTCTGAGTCCTCAGATACTTCTTTGACTTCTCTGTGTTACATCAAAGTCATGGTATGTTAGCAGACCGGTGTGAGGCATGTGATAGAGGATTCACAAACACGACGTCTTCTCCCGCGAACTTGTACCGCTTTTCGATCTTCACCAGCTTCGGCCGGCTCGTGCTGGGTGTAGACGTGGACGATACGGACGCCTGGAAGCTGGCCCATAAAGCATCGCGAGCTCTGTTTCACTCTGAGATGAAACCGGGGTGTTCGTAAAGGAACGAGCCGCACCGTTTCTGTGCCTCTTTCTCTTCCTCCGTTACTGACGCCTGCGGTGCGGCCTCAGGCTGTGCACCCCGGTCGTTTCCCTCGTCGTCTGAGGAGGCACCGTCGTCGTCTGGAACGTAGTCTAAATCATCTTCGGAGTCCGAGTCGTGATGAACGGGAGTCTGAGGCTGCATTGCGAATGTTGTGCAGGGAAAGACGCCGCCGGCAACGTCCGTCGCTGTAAGTCAATAATAATAATAATAAACATTGCAGGCCTTTGTCTTCATTCTAAGTATGTTACACTGTTCTGCTGCAAACGTTTCTGTGCTCTCAGGAACGTCCGCGTTTGTTCGTTGTCGGAACAACGGGTCCTTCGTGATGCATCTGCAGCTGAGTCTGAGACTCAGAGACGATGAGCAGAGTGCTCTGGTTAATGTTCGCTCCCCATCCCTACTCCTGGCAGCATCCGAGTCTGCTGCTATGAATATCATCTCAACCACGCTGAGGGGCTTGTTTCAGTCGGTGCGAACGCGACTCAGGGATATCAATAACATGATGCGGCGGATGCGTCCCAGGCCTGGCGCAAATTTAGGGTTTCTTCGGGTTAGGGCTCTATGACAAGGAGCCGTTCGAGCAGTTGTCTCGAAGATTGGAATGTACGCATATCACAGCTCTACTCCCTCGTGTCTCTAACCAGTGTTTGCATGGCTGCAGCGCCTTCCGAATGTGCCTACATAATGGGTAAACCTTATTTACCTCTGGCTGATCACGATCGCACAACGTGTATTTTCTGTTTATTTTTGGGACAATGCCCTCTCATTATTCTCGGCGCAGCTCATTTTCGCTCGCCTTGTGGCGGCTGGCACGCCGAAAGCATTGATCCGTGAGCGAGCAGCTGCTTTTAAGATGCGGCCTGCATCGGGGGCACTGCAACCGGACGGTTTCCGCGCGCACTCGGGATCTCGTATTTCAGCAGGCGGCTCTCCTCGCCATCGCCCTCCTTTGTCTATCACACTCTTCTCCCCACCCCGCCAAGCACTGGTCTGCTCCTTAATATTCTGAAATGTTGTTCACGCTACCCTTGTCGTTGCTCGCGGCTGTGCCCCTTGCTTGGGCGGCACCGATGTGCACGCTGAAGCGCCAGGCTACGACGGTCACCCCGTCTGGCAGTACTGGCAGTGGCAATACGACCAGCAACTCTGGCGATGTGATTGCCGCAAGCTGGTATGCCGGCTGGAACTACCAATATTTCGCTCCCTCGAACATCAGCTGGTCCAAGTACAGTACTGTGTACTATGCGTTTGCGTGAGTTCTGTCGACTATGGAAAGGCTGCTCACCCGAAGGCTGACGTGCCTGCATTGAAGTGAGACGACGCCGGACTCGTCGACAATTTCCCTCACCTCGGACGACACGAATGTACTGCCTCAATTTGTCAGCTTGGCGCACCAGAACGTACGGCGGCTGACCATAGTCCTGTTGTGCTCCCTGCTGACGTGTTTCGCAGAATGTGAAAGCTGTCCTGACCATCGGTGGCTGGAGCGGATCCCAGTACTTCTCGAGTTCGCTCGCGACCGCGGACAACCGCACTGCATTCATCAATGCCGTGACGAAGCTCGTCAGTCAATACGATCTGGATGGCGTCGATTTCGAGTCAGTATAATGCTACTGTCCAGGAGTACAAGGTAGCTGACATATCTTCCAGCTGGGAATACCCCGGAAAGCAAGGTCTCGGGTGTAATACCATCAGCGATAACGACAGCGCGAACTTCCTGTCGATGCTGCAAGAACTCCGCTCCCAGCCCGCGGGCAAGAACCTTACACTATCCGCCGCGGTCTCCATCACGCCCTTCGTCGGCTCGGGCGGCACGCCCATGAGCGACGTCTCCGCGTTCGCGTCGGTGCTCGACTACATCGAGATCATGAACTACGACATCTGGGGCTCGTGGAGCACGGGCGTCGGCCCCAACGCGCCGCTCGACGACAGCTGCGCACCGCCCGCGGACCAGCAGGGCTCGGCGACGTCCGCGGTGAAGGCGTGGACGGCGGCGAAGATGCCCGCAGATCAGATTATCCTGGGCGTTGCGAGCTACGGGCACAGCTTCTCTGTGAGCACGAGTGCGGCGTCGAATGGGAGCAGCCTGGCGGCGTATCCCGCGTTTAACAAGGCGGAGCAGCCGGACGGGGATAAGTGGAGCGGAGACGCGACGTTCAATGCGAGCGCGACGGACGCGTGTGGGAACCCCGTGACGAAGAGCGGGATCTTTGATTTCTGGGGAATGGTCGATGGTGGGTTCTTGACCGCAAACGGAAGCGTCGCGGAGGGGATGATGTCGCGGTACGACGAGTGCAGTCAGACGGTGAGTACCTTCCATAGAAGCATAAGATTTTTGATTGAGACTCTGTTCTTCAGCCATACGTGTACAACCCGAACACGCAGGTGATGATCTCGTACGACAACGCCCAGTCCTTCGGTATGCACTTTGGTGCTCGTGTCTCTCGAGACTTCGTGCTTACCAACCCACCTTTTTGCAGCTGCCAAGGGCCAGTTCATCAACACCCAAGGACTCGCTGGGTTTGCCATGTGGGAGACCGGCGGGGACCTCAATGACGTCCTCCTCGACGCCATCTCGCAGGGCGCGGGCGTCGACTCATCTGACTCCTTCGACGACTGCTGATCTTGACTGTATCGATTACCACCAAGCTACTTGTAGCTGTACGCTCGTTGTATTATTGCTTTCTGTCTTTTACTTGTAGGGTATTGTGTAAATTATACCGGGTGTATAAGTAGGATACTATGCTGTAGACTCACTGCGAAATGGAATGTATTTCTGGCAGAGCCGCATGTATGGGATGTTGAATGCGTGGGAATCTCAGTTTCAAGCTCGCGAACGCAACATGGACGTCACTCAGGCGCGTACACTGGCAACCGTCAACCTCAAGCTACACCTGGGTCCGCCGACAGAGGTACGTGGACGCCGCATACGGCGCCGCCTATGCTTCCAACATGCTTTCGTAGAAGTATCTTGAGGTGGGTAGTGTAATCCTCGGCGAGCTGCGTGTTTCGCTGAAACTATGCTTTCCAGATTCCTCTTATTATGCCTGCTTGCCCGTGCGGTCTCTGCTCAGGCAGGTTCGCACCACAAGGTGCACGCGGTAGTCCCAAAGCCGGCTGGGTACGCGACGAACGAGACGAGCAACAGCAACGTCGTATGCAGACCATTCGGGCGGTGCGAGCCCTGTCCTGACGATGCCGTACGTCCTACCTACCTTCCCCTTCTCTTCCTCCCACTGACCCCTCCCCTCATCCCAGCTGCACGAGCCCTTCTGCCAGCCGTTCGGCAACCGGCGGCTCATGCACTGCCAGGCCTCGCAGGGCGAGACGCCCGCGTGGCAGTCGTGCGGGCGCATACCCGAGCAGGAGCGCGCGGACTTCTACGAGTTCGTGGCGTGTAATCTGGCGTTTGCGCTGGTCGCGCTGGGTTTGGTGGTGGTGCGGACGAGGCGGATGGAGGCGATGCTCGCAAGGAGGATCGCGGCGCGGATTGGGCTGGTTAGAGGGGGATGAGGAGGTGTGCCGTAGGATCGGTATGTGCGGAATGATTTTTCGTCGTTGGTGCTCTGTGAGGTGATGCCCGCGGGGCTGACAACCGAATCTCGTACAGGAAGGTCCGAACGCTCTTTCTCCACGGGCGGACGTACAGCTCGATAGTCGACTCTCGCATTATCCCAATTTCAACTTCTTCCGCTTCCCCTCCGTATCATCCTTCGCCCCGCCGGCCTCCATTCCCTGCTTCACTGCCGCCGCGTTGATAACTGGCATAGGCCGCTTCGCGAACACGATCTTCCGGCGTACCAAGCCAATCATATCATAGCTCGTGCCGTCATCCTCATTTGGCTGTGCGCGGTGAAGGACTGCGAGCGGCTTCTGGAGCGTGACGAGCTTGCCCTCGAGGAGGTGGTGGCCGATCAGGAGCGTCGGCTTGTCCTGCGGAGGATCAGGCTTTGGCGGGTGGAAGGGAGATTCAGTATGCATACCCCTTCGAATTTGAGCTTCCCGACTGCCTGCCCGGACCTATCCCCTTCGACTTCGAGTGATCCCTGTAGCTCGATGATGACCACTTCGGAGTTTCCGAGCTTCGCGAGGCTTGGGGGGAGCCGGGGGCCGTTTGAAGGGCCAGGAAGGTTGATTGGGATTATCATTAGAGTCGGGGTGTTCTCGTTATTTTGAGCAAATACAATGAAGGATATGTTAATGCCGTAAAGACGGGACCGTAGCGGTGCGCGGGGGAAGGAGACAAGACGCGGTGTGACCGCACGCGATTATTGGTGTCACGTCTTATGTGAGTCGTTCTAATTACGCGTCTGTATCGCAGAGTCTTCCCTTGATACGCGGGGCTTTCTTTATACAATGTCTAGCATTCCTCTTCTTCGAACTGTGGTAATTACGACTCTTGTCTTTCTGATATCCGGGTATTCACTGGAGACGGGAGCATGTGATAACGAGGTCCTGACTTGCGGCGTCTAGTCCGAGTTATAGTCTTGCGGGGTCGGGTGAACGGCAGCAGCGACTACAACATGGGGGACCTACAAATCGACTCTTTCGTCTTCGATGCTCGGCCATCCTACCCGCTCCTCGTCACCGCCAAACGTTACCTCCATCCCTCATTCTCCCCTGATCCCGACGCGCTGACTCTGGTCTTCGCGCACGCGACCGGCGCACACAAAGAATGTTGGGAGCCCGTGCTCAAGCACCTGTTGAGCGTGAACGGCAAGGCAAAGATCCGCGAGGCGTGGTCCGTTGACTGCCCGAACCACGGCGACGCGGCCGTCCTGAACGAGGAGCTGCTGCAGTGGGGCTACGAGCCGATTTGTGAGCGCCGGTCCTGCCTGCGTATTCGGGATGGCAGGATAGACTGAGTGCTCTGAGTGTAGTCTCATGGGAGAGCCAGTACGCGAAGGTCCTCCACCGCATCCTCAATGGTCTGGGCAAGGGCGTCCCGGTGGACTTCTCCTCGCGCCGCCTCGTCGCGATCGGGCACTCCATGGGCGCCGTCTCCTGGTACGCCCCCTCCCTCCACATGAATTCTAATACAGCGTTAACAGATCATCACGTACCCTAGGCTGCTCACCCGCACGTTCTATCCGCCCCCGCGCTTCGTATCCCTCGTCCTCGTCGAGCCCATGATCCTCGGGCCATCCTTCACGGGGGGCAGCGTCGCCGAGTTCCTCGAGGGCAGTACGGCGAAGCGGCGGGACGTGTGGGCGAGCAGGGAGGAGGCGTACCTGGCGCTGCTGCCGCGGTATCGGTACGATAGGGACGCGATGGCGTCGTACGTGGTACGCCTGTGTCTACGATGAAAGTGATTGTGATGGTGTATGTGATGTGTCCGCGTTGGCAGGAGCATGCGCTGAGGGACCTCCCGACTGCGCTGTACCCTGACAAGCAGGGCGTGACGCTCAAGTGCACCAAGTGGCAGGAGCTGGTAGGCACCCTTCATGCATCATGTACTGGACTGTTTCACCTACTCATGCTTCACTGCTTCATGCAGGCTTGTTATAGGGATTATCAGAGCAACAAGCTGGCATGGAGGTACATCAAAGACGCCTGCGCCGACCTGCCCGTCCATTTCATCAACGGCGCCGTACACGATACCCTGTCCGTCTCTCCGTACTTCTAAAAAATTCTCCATAATGTTGACCGTGTTGATCACCCACCCACAGCCCGAAAGAGCTCAAAGAAGATACAGTGGTCACAGCTACGGCCGGCCGGTACAAGAGCTGGCAGGAAGTGCAGGGAGCGGGGCATTTGGTATGTTATTCTCGTGAAATGGTGTGAGTGATATTGACGGGGTTAATGCGCAGGCGCCGCAGATGGCGCCAAAGGGTGTTGCAGAGGCCATTTTGAATGTTTTGGCTGATCCGGACTTTAGTCATAAGATGCCGGTATCAGGCAGCAGGCTCTGATGAAGGCAGTACTAGGAATGATAACGTTGTACACCTGAGGCACCCTGAACCTGTTAATGTCACGATTGTAGGTTTCCCTCGACTGATGTACACCGTGTCCACTTGTCAGTCTGCAGATGCAGACTGACCTTCGCGCATGAGAAGGACGACTCCCTCTTCACAAAGTAGTGGACAGAGGAATCGATCAATTGCTACAACCAACACTTACATACACTCTAACCTCTAACCCTCACTACCTTCCGCTTCCCCTTCTGCGACGCAGCTCCGGGGGGCGCGCCAGGCAGCGCCGGCTCCTGCGCATTCATACCTGCCTTCACAGTCTCGAGCAGCATGCCCGTCGGCAGCGAGGGCGAGTACGGCGACACCCGGCTAGCCAGCTCCGGCTCGGGCTGCGGCGGGAGAGGGAGCTGTGCGTGCCCGGTGCGCTTTGGTGTGAGCGGGGCGCGCGGTTTCGCTAAGGGCTGCTTGCCCTTGGAGGAGGGCGCGGCGGGCGTAGGTGCCGGCGCGGGCTGGGGGGAGTAGTTGTAGGGCTCGCGTGGGACGTTGTCGGGTTTAACTTGTTGGATGTGCAGGGCGAGCGCTTCCAGCAGTTGCTTCTCTGCGAATCACAACCGCCGGAGGGATTCCAATAACACTAGGGTAAGCATAGATAGAGTGAGGGACAAGACGGTACGACGCACTGGTTTTGATGCGCGGGTTGAGCAGCCGCCCGTCCTTCTTCCACTGTATGCGTACGCGCCCGGGGTTGTCCCAGTCGCGCGGGTGCGCCTTCTGCACCTCGTGCAGCGCCTGCAGGCCGAGCCGCGTGCTCGCGTCCGCGATGTCCTTGCTCAGCGGCCACCACACCGCCTTTGCCCTCGGCACCCTGCGCTCGCCTCGCCCGTACGCCCGCTTCGCATCGATGTATATCGGGTACACGCACGTCCACCTAGTGCAGTGCGCGGTCACATCTGGGTTAAGGAGCACACGCAGAGACGGTGCAGGCTACGCACGACTTGTACGGCGTGATGTCCGTGACGACGTTCTTCTCGCCCGGAGGAGGGCGGAACTGCTGCTGCTGCGAGGGCGATGCGGGGCCTGCTTTGGGCGGGACAGGCTCGCGCTCGTCGTCCAGGTCGTACTCAATCTCCTCGAGGATGGCGCCGCGCGCGCCAGTATTCGGGAGCGGGCGCGAGGGGAGCGGGAGGTCGGTCTCGTCGTCGAACTCTTCGAGTATTGCGGTTCGGCGGGACATGGTGAATTCTGGGCTGGAGGTGAGAGTACACTGCACACTCTGGAGCGGGATAAGGTGCACTTGTTGTAAGCCTTTTCGTATGATGTGGCTGTGGCGGCCCGTGTATGGTTCTGTGTGGCGCGAGATATGTCCTCAGTACAAGATATTGTATTGGCTTGGACACTGTGCATCTATTCTGCCCTTGCAGAACAACGATAAAGCCTGATACCCATATGGCACTGGTAATTTTTCGATACAGGAGATTCAGGATTCTGGCAGTAAATGCATAACCCCTCTTCTCCCTCACCAACGCATCCACAACATTTTGAAGACAGTGATGTGGAAGATATTAGCTAGCTAGGCTTGAAGCAAAACAGAAGTCATATAGTGCTTCAAGACAGATTATCTGCCCTAGAAGCAGGGATGGTCTTCCTAAGCCTGTGGATTGAGACTCCTGCTCACAAACCCATCTACTTCAACTTAGGATTTCATATCAGCTGGCCCTGCAAGCTGTATTGTGGAAGTACCACCAGCACTTTGGAATTGTGTGGTATGCTCCCAAGTCTTCCCCAGGCCCACAAGAATTATATTGAAGTTGGTATAATGCCCTAGAAGTCTTATAAGAAAGAAAGCAAAAGGAAGGCAGTGATATCTTACTAAGACATCATTTGATAAAGCTATAAAGATAGCCTTGGATATTTAGGGCTACAATTAGTGTACTACCTGGAGGATGCACAAATTATGACTTACTGATGGGACAGTGATCAATAAACCTCTCTGTAATGTACTAGTGATCATGGCCAGAGCATTGATGATTGCCAATATTGCACCTGATGAAAGGCTGTGCTAGCACCATCAGAGAGAAAGAGATGGCAGAGAACCAAGGTAGGCCCTTACACGAGTGATATTAAGGCAAGATATTGTGAGGGATGGTGACCTGAGGATGCTTTCTAGCCATCTGGTTGGCCCTCCAGAGTACAGAGCTAAGTGTACCAGCCACAAGCAAAGTCAGCAAGATTTACTGCTCCACTTGAAGCAGAAAATACCAATGCTTGCAGTCATTACTACATTTGTGATGATGCATGTAACATAGAGGGCAGTGTTGAGCTTTTCCTCAAGTGTACAGAGTCTTGCATACATTGCATTTGATGTTGTAAAGGGTAGAATCACCAGGGTCCAGCATCGCAACTTGGCCATAAGCAGATACTGTGAAACATAGCCACTGTGAACAGCATGTTCTACTGATAACATATCAAAATAAGCATCCAGATCCTCCTACCCGAGAAGATAAAAGCCCGCCACATCTAGATTGGAGTGAGTAGCTAATCCAGGATATAACATAGAGTCAATAACTTACCAGCAGCAAATCTGCAAGTAGACTAAAGACATCAATGAGATAGCTGGCTGGTACGGGCAGCCTGAGGCACCTACAGTGTGGTGGTGATGATACCCAGCACATAACCAGTATTGTCTCATCTTCAGCGGTGATATGCACTGACACACAACAATCACCAAGGACCAAAGGAAATAAACCTAAACCCCGTGATATGGGTGAAGGCGGTCCGAGACAACTGAAGGGTATTTAATAGTTCGAGGGGGAAAGCAGGAGTAAGACGCCGTAGGGTAGTCCGTAGGAAGACCTAGAAAAATAAAACAAAACCTTGACGCCTGAAACAAACACTAAGGGACGCTCCGGAGTATTTATCTCCGGAAAGTCGCAAACAAAGTCGCAAACCACGAAACCGAGTGTAGGTTCGGGCCCACGGGAGTAGAAATTGCTAGAGAAACTTGGTTAATTTTATTTCGCTATGTGAGACTCACCGGAGCTAATTGGATCGATGGCGGAGATAATTCACTCGACGAGTCAGGCCTATTGGCAAAGCTAAGATCGGTTATAATTCGCTAAGTTCGACACTTTCGAACTTCTCGGGTCGCTGAGATCGTAACTCTAATTCTCTGAGATGGTGAAGTCGAAACTTATTTTTCTGTATGCTACTTTGTACAATTTATACTACAGGAATGGCTTTGCGACCGTTCAGAGATAAATAACAAATAAACGCCGCTACCCACAGGATTGCTCAGCACTTTCCTCTGCTATACCATATACCATACGACTCTCTTGCGCTCCCACTTGCTCTTTCCAGCCCCTATAGGTCGCCTCGACGCTTCGCCACCTGACCCAAGCGGTCCCATCACTCCGTGCGACACGCCGGTCACGTGTTAATTACCTCCGGCCGTTTGCTGACTGATGCTGACCTTATGGTGACTCGTATGCGTCCGCACCTTCGGTATCTTGACGGAAACGAGGGGGAGTAAGTGCTTGAGGGTGGGCATGAGGAAGACGCCCCTCGATAGAAGTGTCCGCGGGTCCCGGAGCTAATTCAGCTAGAAGTCGCATTGGTTAAGTCACTCCGGAGCTTCGGTGCGCGGAGATAAATCGCGGAATGGGTCCGAGTACGCCTCGAGGATGTTGGGAAGTCCGGAGCTAAATAGAAAAAGTCTTTTAGAGCCCATAGAAGCCTAGAGGCGTGCGAGCGCTGTGTCAAATAAGCTCCGGGGCGCTTGTATGATGTGCTGAATCCGCGTGTTCGGGGGTCAGACGATCCTGAAGCTTATCAGCGGCCTCAGGGTGATACTGGTACGAGCAATCTGCAAAAATGTTGGGAGAGGCAGATATGGCTTGGGGCATTATGACAGCTTCCAGCTAATATTAGTGAGGGAAAAGGTCAGATAGAAATGGTCATCAAGGCTCTGCTGTCACTGATATAGACATGGGCTATACTCACTATCTTACATAGTGATGCCCCTCCTTTGGGAGGGGTTCTGGCACCCTTGAATTGCATTGCACTTTTCGTCACACTGGCAAACTCCGGCGTGCTATGTTTGGCTCTAATGGTGCCACTACTGAACAAGGACTTAGCCATGGTCGGGCATGCATCTCAATGTTCACACTCAAGTCCCTCTCAACTATGTGATTAGTGTTGGTTTGTGGATGCCACAAGGTACAGGTGAAGGGCTATTATGAGGTAAAACTTAGAGGCATAGGGAGAGCATAGTATTAAACATAGATCCTTGTACCTCAAAACTTTTGGGTGTTGGCTTGAGAAGGATTTGAGTGTATGTGCACTCCATCTAACATATGTATTCAATCATTCTAGTTTTCTGGGTCTCCATGCCGTGCATAAGTCTGTGATGGACAATTTACAAATAAGTAGAATCAAGGATTTCCATGTTACTCCATTGCTTATGATCATGAGGCCCAACAAACTGTAAGATAAAACTATGATGTGAGATGGATGCCAGATGTCCAGGCGTCAGATACACACCATTAGACATTTTTGGAGAGGGGATAAGTATCTCTTAGACTACAATAGCACAGGACATTCTACCTGGCCCTAGATGGAGCTTGACTGAAAGAGAACCGGGGAAAACTTGGGTCCCCTATATATATCACTAACAATATCCCTAGCATTATCTTACATGGTGGAAATACTGTCCTTATGAATTTGTCGACCTCGTGTAGCAGCCACAACATCTTGAACTTCGTGCAAGTTCTCAAGGTCAATTTCTTGAACAAAGGAGGGGTTAGTTGCCGGCGCCAGACGGCACTTCACGAGTGAGATCAGTGCTGCGGAAATGATACCAGAATGTTGAGGTCTAATATGCACGATGGGGAATTCAAGTCTCGGGACCAGATCGGACTTGGCACCTGCAAACACGGAGTCGGCGCCCCGATTAGCTTCACACAAACTTGACCTTTACAGCCGTTTGCAGATTGATGGGCCCACTTTTCATAAATCATTTACAGTCGGACCACGTTGGACAAGCAATTTTAAGTCCCTGAGAGACGGAAATCAGACCATCAGGACTTCCCTACCTTCTTCTGACGTCCCTGGGACGCACTCCGACCCACTCCGACTATACGCGATTTTCTGGATTGGTGGTCCATTGATCTGCAAACGGCTGTAAGTTGAAGTGTTTCTACTCATGATCAATGCCAGTGTCGGAAAATCTGGAAAAGACTGATAAGCCCTGAGAGAACCTGACGGACTGATCAGGCATTATAATGTTATGTTTCAAGGCTGATAAGCCCTTATCAGGTGTTGTCAGGTTTGGATTAGGTAGGGGCTTCTGGTGGTGCTGTAATATCACAGGAATTCTGTAGTAAATCCTGTACATCGGAAACATCTTGAAATACGGTCGTAGCCTTTACATGGGTTGAGTCTTTTAAAGGTGGCATGTTGACTACGGTAGCATTATAGTCTAAGTCTAATGTTATGGCGAAATCTACAAGAGCCGTACGTCAGAGGACGTGAGCGCGAGCGACGGTAATTACGAGTCGCCCGGTAAGGCAGTATGTATGATATATATATACCAATGTGAGACTGACACAGCTATTGTTGTGTAGTGTAGTAGTTATACCGTTAGTCTTTACATATATCATCATCGTTCAACTCGAGGCCGCTCGTTCGAATCAAAGTCGAAGTACCTGTATTAAAGTGACGTCTTAGATAGTGGTGTCGATGACCATCGGGTGGCGTGAGTGGCTCCTCCTTTTCTCATTTCTGGCACCCATGGCCTTATCCGGGCTTATCATGCCTTATAATGGCTTGTAACCCCCATCAGGCCTGATCAGCCTGACGGAGGCTTATACGCGCTTTTCGATCATTTCTGAACCCGATAACTCTCCTCGAACCTGATTGACTTATCAGTGCATTATCTGGCATTGTATAGCAATATCATGCTTTTCTGATTTTTCCAACAAGTGATCCCGTTTCCTTTGTCGACATTCGTGTTCACCTACATCTTGGAGGGATGGTGAGATTTGCTGTCATCATTCCTCTGACCGCACAAAGCGCGTCATCTCTGCGATTCGAGAGAAACTCCGGAACTACTGAGAGTGGCGACATTCCACAATGACTTCGCGGCGGCCATGCGTTACCATCGGTGGGCCGCATACGTACTACTGTTCGTGACTACTTCAACACTCGACATCAGCGACAGCTGCATTCAGGGAAGCTTTCAAACATTTGAACCACTGTCTTCCGCTGACATCTTCGCTGGACTACGCTCGGACACAGTCACATTGCGCAGCCCGGCGGTGCCGTCTAGCATCTCTGCGTCGCTTTCTGAATCGCAGTCGTTACCTTCCTCCTGTTCAAATCCTTTATGATGCCCATATCATTCCCTGACTTTCCCCTAGGCAGTGCCCTGTGCTATGTGTCATCTTTGCCGGGTACTATAACAATGGAGCCAGTGGACACAAGGTCCCACTCCTCTCACAGTTTGTACGTTCGGACTTCGATTTCTCTCTCCGTGTCGGAAAAATCAGAAAAGCCTGATATTGCTATACAATGCCAGATAATGCACTGATAAGTCAATCAGGTTCGAGGAGAGTTATCGGGTTCAGAAATGATCGAAAAGCGCGTATAAGCCTCCGTCAGGCTGATCAGGCCTGACGGGGGTTACAAGCCATTATAAGGGATGATAAGCCCAGATAAGGCCATGGGTCTCAGAAATAAGAAAAGGAGGAGCCACTCACGCCACCCATGGTCATCGACACCACTATCTAAGACGTCACTAATACAGGTACTTCGACTTCGATTCGAACGAGTGGCCTCCAGTTGAACAAGGATGTATATGTAATCTAACGACTTAACTACTATACTATGTGACAATAGCTGTTTGGGTCTCAAATTGGCATATATACATCTTGCATACTGCCTTACCGGGCGACTCGTAATGACTGCAGCAGGCGTGCTCAATTCTACAATTCGGCCGTTCGCTCGAGCAATCGTTCGCGCTTTCGTTCGCGCCAGGAATAGCTCAAGAGTAATCTAACGACTTAACTACTATACTATGCGACAATAGCTATTTGGGTCTCAAATTGGCATATATACATCTTGCATACTGCCTTACCGGGCGACTCGTAATGACTGCAGCAGGCGTGCTCAATTCTACAATTCGGCCGTTCGCTCGAGCAATCGTTCGCGCTTTCGTTCGCGCCAGGAATAGCTCAAGAGGAATGCAAGCGACTTCCAGCGCCCTTGGGCGGCGACGGTCTCGGGAGGCACACCAGCCAGGAGGAGCTCTGTTGCGCCGCCAATCCTGAAGCTATGACCCGCAACCTGTGAGAGCAGGGCGGGTGACTTCTCCCAGACAGTGCGGCAGCGGCCGAGGAACCAGGACTTCACCATGGGAGCCCATGAACCGTCCGCCGTTTCGAACGCGAACAGCGGCGCGTCGGGTGGGACACGTCGGTTAGCAAGTTGGTGGAGCCTGAGGGCCGCGACGGCGCATACGAGGGGGCGTCCGGGGATGGAAAGATCGACACCGGCATCCTTCTCCATCTTCCCAAACGGTAGGTGGAGGTGGGCGGACTCTGAGCCATCGGGCAGGGTGCGAAAGCGGATGGCCGCCGACTTCGTAACATGGCGCCGAGGGTCAAATGCTGTCTTTGAGGGAACAGTAAGCTCACCAAGGCGGCAGCACGCCCAGAATGCGATGCAGGCGACGGCCCACACGGCGCAGTCGAAGCTAGAACTGAAGTCGAGCCCTTCCTGAAGGGCAAACAGGTGCTCAATTGTGACCGGGGCCCGCTTCTCGCGCTTCGAGGAGGCGGGGGCCCGTTTCGCCGCTGACATCTTGATGAGGGAGATGAATCGTTGATCGCCCTCCCATGGCGCACAGTTGATGTCGTGCCAAGCGTGGAGGCCGGCAAGCCAGGCAGCGACGGTCTTGCCCGAGACAGTACCGGCGAAACGAGAGACAAAGCCGGCGAGTAGGAATGGTGACGCCGGCATGCGATGGCCTTCGGGGATACCCTCGGCGTCGCAGAACTGGTGAAAGCGCAGGAGCCCAGCGGCGTACGTCGAGAGGGTAGACGGCTCAAGAGCCGCGAAAACAAGATCCTGGACGGTGTTCGCCGTACTAGGCGACAGCTCCTGCCGGAGGAGCGAGTCCGTATCGAGGGCATAGGGGCTTGTCCACGCTCGCAGCCGATCGACGGCGGCAACGTGGGGACGGAATGGACTTGGCAAGATTTCGCAGCCGTCCCGCGGCTTGCGACCTTTTCGGATACCAGACGAGCGCGGCGGCGCGAGGACAGACGGCACTGCCGTCAGAGGTCTTCGTGCCTCGTCGGAACCCGCGGGGGGATTGCCCACCGCTCTATTCAAACGGTGTCTTAACATGGTCAAGGAAAGGGGATAGTTCACTTGGCAGCCGAAAGCTTGCCTTCATACGAACCGCCGCTGCACCCAGATCTCCGCGCGAGATGGGGTCAGCAGGGTTACACTTTGATTCTATGTATTCCAAGTCCAGCATCACATTGCGAGCGGCGAGCACAGTCGCTGCCCGACGAATCGAGAGGTTCACTTCAAAATTCCGGCTGCGGCCTTTGTCAAATGCACCGATGATGCCTTGATTATCGGAGTGGACCCGAAGAGCGGTATTTTCGATGCCACGCTCCTCCACCACGTAGATCAGAAGCTCAACGGCGACACCTTCGAGCCAACCGATGTCTCGAAAGCGCGCCTTCCATCCAGGGCGAGTCCGCCAGGCGTCCCACATCCCAGCCCAAACAAGGCCGATGCCCCAGTCAGTGGATGCATCGACATAGATGCCAAGGTCCAGAGTGGGTCCCCTAGGAACGAGCGAGCGATAGGTCCCGGGAATTGACAAGGCAGCCTCCCACCACGACAGGTCTTCGGTAACATAGGACGGGGCATGGCGGCGCTTGAAACGATCATTTCAAAAGCTAGAAATGAAGCTAGATAGGTTGGGTAGCCGGGAGCGACCGTCCCTGTAGACGAAGGCAATATGACACAACGAGCCGTGGATCTTCATCACATCCACCAGGCGGCAGGGAACTGTGCCCCGTCAGAAGACGTCGAGAAATTGTCTCACCCGAGTGAGAAACTTGAGCCGCTTCTTCTCTGGCAGACAGACAGTCTTCTGCTCTATGTCCCAGAGCAGGCCTAAGTAAGTGAACTGCACAGCGAAGTCCTGTCCCTTGTCTGGATGCCAGGGAATGCCGAGATCCGCGATCAAGGAGAGGGCCTCTTTGCGACCATAGCGGTAGAGGAATGAGCCGTCGTTGTTCCGGCCAATGGGAAACCGAAAGGAGGTCAGGTCATCGACCCACTTGACAGAGGGTCCAACCCCCTTCTCCTGCCAGATGTCCAGTGCCCCGTTGGCAATAGAACCAGCATTACTCTCCGATGAGCAGCACCCGAATGGGCACGTGTGGTCGATATGAAAGCCATCCACACCTTGAACCACGAACCAGCGTTTGTGGTCAGGGTGGATGGGGCAGGTCCTATGGAACTTGGCTATGTCCAATGTCATAGCTTGCGTCCCAGCGGGTGCCGCCGAAATCTAACCAAGAATGAAACATGAGCGACTGCTCAGATCCCCGGAAAGACAAGTGGAGCAGCGCCAAATGCCCCAACCGCCGCGGGACCGAAGGGTCTAACCCGCGCGGACATACACTGGCGGCACCGAATGGTCTAAGCCGCCCGCCAATGCGGGACCAACTGGTCCAACCCGCAATGTGACTCAGAATGTGGGGCCTACTGGTCTAACCCACACAGAGGCAAATGAAACACTCACAATGTCGGCAACCTCGCTAGCTGAGCCAAACCGCGTAGGGAACTTGTCCGTATCAATGTAGTCATTCGTGGCAGGGTGATCTCGAGAGGATTTCGAGAGATTCCGGCATATCCTGATCTTATCAGGCTCCCCGAGACCTTGGGGCTGGACGGCGACAGTGAGGGGGGAGCACTGGAATGGACCAACGATCGCCTCCGTCTCCCCCTGAGTGAAGGGTCCGCTCATCCGACCGCCAGCTACTTCCTCCCGAAGATATGCTGAGATCTCTGAGGCGAAGGGAATACTAGATGAGTGATTTGGGAAGATGATGCTTTTGTTGAGGGAGGGAGGAAAGTCGCCCATGGGGAAGCCGTTCCTAAGCTTTCGGGCCAGATCCGGATGGGCATTGGTCAGGTTGTGTTCATGGAGCATAGAAGTGAAGGCGGCGGCACTGTAAGGTGTGATAATGCGATTGCGAATACGAAGGCAGCAAGATGGGCTTAAGCGAGCAGAGCAGGAGGACGAGAGGCAGGCTGAACAAGAAGAAAACAGGACATCGGCCTCAGTTAGGGTTGGCGCGGCATCGCCAGGCAAGTGCATGGTGCTCGTTCGAGCCGCAGAAGGAGCATATATGCCTGAGACGTCCACCGTGCGCACACTTGCCCCGGGGATCCCCGTTGACGTTCCACATAACGCAGAGGGCCTCGTCTCGACCCCGGGGGCGGAGAGAGCCATCTCGTGACTCGGCAAAGACGGGTTTGCCGTCTGGGAATGCTCCATCGGAGCAGGCGGCAATTTGGTGGCCCTTCCTCGCGCAGATGAGGCAAGTCGCCGCTGAAGGGTCGCCGCGATTGCCTGCTTGAAACCGCCCGCCGCCACCCGAACGTGACGGACCGGCATGTTGCCTCGAAGTGCCTACGGCTGGCGGATGGGAAGTGACAGCCGACGGTCGCGAAAACAGTGAGTTGAACTTAGCTTCGCGACGCTGTTCCTTCCCGTCCATCTCCTCCATCTTCAGTTCGATATGCTTGGCCTGGAATCGGGAGTGGTAATGCGCAGGGTTGAAGACAGTTTGCTGTGAAGCGTACTCCGTCCGCAATTCGGCCTCGGTCGCGCGAACTACCGCGAACTTGTCCGAGAAGTCGGGTATGTCGAGGAACCAGTCGAAGTGTTGCCGGAAGCGTTCAACGTATGCTACTGTCCCGATAATTGAGCAAAAACCTAAAAAGTTTTCGGCGCCCTGGCGCCATTCCGACTCCTCCAGCTTGAGATCATCACCGAAGTGTGTCACATCAATGACAGACACCTTCGACGCGAGCTTCTTCCGAGGCAGCGCGTTGCTCTTCTCCGTGATCTCCTTGAGGGATCTGTTTGTGAAGCAGACGAGAGGGGGTTGAATCTGGTTATCCACCAGCCGCAGGAGTTCCGGGTGGTTGTAGCTGTACCGGACCATGGATCCCGGGGCTACCTCGACCTCCTGGCTCGTGTCGAGCAGCCGCCGCTTCTTTGTCTCACCGGTCTCCTCAACTGCAGCATCAGCCTGTCTCTTAGTGAATAGAGTACTCAGCGATTTGAAGGAGCCAGGGGTCAGGCCTGCTATCCTATGTAGCAAGCTACCGAAGGAGTCATCTCCGTTGGTAGGGGTTCTCGGGCGGTCTGCATCGGACACCTCTGGGATCGTCACGAGCGACTCCGTCGAAGATACCGGGGACAGGGACACAGTGGCCGACGTGTTCGCATCAGCCCCGCCAAGGGCTCGGGTGTCGTCCAGGCGCCTGCGCTCAGCTTCTTGCGCCGCCTGCTTCGCACATCGAGCAACCGATAATATGACACGCGGTGGCATTCAGTCCCATATGTCAATACAATATTGTGAATTCCACACAACCACCATATACAGTCATATACTCCCCATATGGGAGCTGAGCCACAGACGATCCCCTACAACGGTAATGTCAGGGAATATCAAATAGAAACAAATGCATTACCATATTTGAATATCAATTTCCGCAGATATACCCAGTGATAGAGCAAATATGGATAAATATATGGAACAATGGGGAAGTCCGGTTTTTGGCCTGATACAGTACAATGAATCATAGCTAAAATATCAAAGCACATCTCGGGTTGATAGCGAATCCGGAATATGGATGCAAATAGCGTAACACATAGCATAAAGGTGCGATATACCTGATTCGGGATCGTCCGGTATATAATCGGGCCGCCGACGGGCCGCCAGTGGCTGCATCGGCAAGCC